TATATGTAACAAACTTGTCGTTATAGCGATTAGAAACCTCGGCCCTCTCTAGGATAGTACGCGGAAAGTGAAACCGGCAATATTTCGTAGTATCGGCCGCATCTTGTCCCTTCTTACGGCGTAGGCAATAATCGTTATACGAGTGCCGCTGAAGTCGGTTTACAAGATCCGAGAGAAACTCGAGATTGTTTTCTATTTCCGAGGTATCCGAATTTATAGCACTACGGCCAATAGGGGCACCCTGCCGACTAGTATCCGGATTTAAGGCAACGATATGTCTATCCCAACGTGTAGCAAGTGCCGAACGCCCCTCGTCAGTAGTAACACTAATCGATGGTAGCTCGTCTATCCAAAGAAAAAAGTGCGCGTGAATACTACCTCTCCCTTGAAACTCAAACCGAATCCATGAGTCAGATACCCTAAATTTAGGCTCTAGGACAGTCTTAAACAAGAGCTTTAACCGACGCTTAAATAGATCTACTACGATATGCGGATAGTCCTTAAGAAACTCCCGTGCTAGACGGATAGAATCGGCCGAACTACCTGTTTTCCATTCGTTATAGAACGGACTTAACCGAAGTAAATGGTCCCACTGTAGATCGGCGGGACTACAGGTTCCAAAAAGCGCCGGACATCCTAGAGACCGAACTATCGCTTCTAGTTCCATTCGGCGGGCGCCCATATACGGCCTCGTACCAATTAGGGACCGCCCGTGCCTTGTAATTGTGTCTAAAATAGACTTAGAATCCGGGGACTCCGGGTTTAGTAAGGCCTCCCGTAGTTGCTCCTTTGTAAGGCTATTAGCAACTTCGAGACTACGGGCAAGGTACGTAGACTGGCTACGAGTTAAGCTTCGGTAATAGATATTAAATACCGTATACCGCCAGCTAGTATGGGAACCAAATCGACCGTCGTAATAGTATAGTAGGGCTTGAATATAGTCCTTAAAACCAACTGTCCTTTCGCGAGGGCTATAAAAATCGCCCTGCCCTGTAGGATATAGGTACGGAAAGGCAAGTGATAGAAGGCTACTATTAGTATCCCACTCGTCGATAGGTCGCGCCTGTAAATGGGGCCACGTTAAGTGGGGTAGACTGCGAGGCTGGGCTAATCGATGTAGACTCGTCCCGGGGGGTCCCCGGCTAACTTCGGTCGGATTCTAGGGGCCTACCCGGCTAACCTCGGGATTATCCCCCCCTGCTATACTCTCTACAGACCGTAGGTCATCTAGTAGGGTTTGATTAGGATCCCGGGTTTGCCCTAATTGCGGGACAGCGGCGGTTTCAATAGGAAATTCCTCGTCCTCGCCGGTAGTATCTAAATATTGTAGCCGATCGCTAGTAGTAGTTTCATCGGACTCTACTAACTCGGTTTGAATTTGACCTAATACGCTATTATCTTGCGGAAGCTGAGACAATAGCGTAGGGTCTATTTCGATATCAGAATATCCGGGATGATTATCCTTTAAATACTCTAACCACAACTTAATAGCCTGCCTACGAACGCGGAATTCGCGATTAAAGGACGCAATCTCATTAGTATTTAGGTTCCGAGGCCTAAGTAATAGTATATCTACCTTATTAGGTAGTCGCGGCAGTTTGTTATAAACAGAGACTATATCGCGAAGGAAATAAGCGACATGTCCGCGGTACTTATACTGCTGGCCCCGGACCGTAAGTACGTTAACGGCAGTATGGACCCTAGCGATTAGGAGCTGTTCTATATCGCTAAGCTTAGGCAAATCTACCGGTAGCTCGCCCGGGTCCATATTATTTGCCCTAGAGAATGGGGGAATTCGAGGGGGGTTCGACTTAATAGCCTTTAAACAAGAGCTACAAGCGCCGGTAGTAGGATCTAGCTTAAGATCTAACCAGCGGCGGGGGCATATTTGACACCGTATCTAAGATATAGTATCTCCCTATCGGCTAAATCGTATACACCGGTCGAAGTCGGTATTAGATAGAGCCGGTCGAGTACGACGTTGTTCTAGTGTTTCGGCGTTTTTAAGGCTAAGATTACCCTCATCTAGTTCGCGAGTAGCCTGGGCTGCCTCGCGAATTCGATTAAGAGAACGCCTATTCATTCGAGACCTCGACGACTCGGAAGCCCTACTAGAGCTAGGAATCGTAGAGGGAAAGATACCGTGTTGCCGGCAGTAACTATATTCGAGACTACCGGCCTGAAATTCCGATCGGGTAGTAAAGTGGCTACCCGTTTCGCACTACTTTAGCTCAGTAGTAATATCCGAAATACCGGGATTCGAACAATACGAGCAGAGGGTAGAATTAACTACCCGACATTCTCTATAGGGCCGAGGTATATTACAGCCGCTACAGGTAAATGAATTTATATCGCGGGCAAGTAAGGGAGCCCTAGTAGATCGTAACGCCCGATTTGCGCGGTCCTCTCTCGCGATAGCCCGTCTTTGCTCCCTTTCAATAGAGGTTTCGTCCCGACCTCTCCGATAAATATTAGGGGCTTCTACGTTAATAGTAGGGCTACGCGAACGCCTTTGTAGCCGCCTTTTGCGTGCCTGTTTCTCGCGACATGTAAGACAGGTCTTATAGGACTGCCTACCCTCTCGATTAAAATCGCTTAGAGGTCGTTGTGTTTTACACCTCGAACATTGTTTTTGTACTCGATCCCGAGTAGTATCCGAATTAGAATCCATATTATATAGATCCTAGGTAAATTTCGATCTAGGACCGTAGTAAATGTACCTAGTTTCCCTCGGCGAAAGGGGTTTTTAAAGGTATACTCCTTGACGTATATAAGACAGTAAAATAGTTCCTTTAAAGAATCTAAAATACTACTCCTATATACATATCCTCCGAACGTGCTAGGATACGATTTCTATATAAGGCGGTTCCGCTCCCAAAGTAGGTCCGCTAGCCGGCCACTTTTATATAGGAAACCCTTACTTCGGGGGCGACCCTGCCTCGCGAGCGCTCTTAAAACGCGCGCAACTCGTAGACTTAGCGAAAATTGTACGTCTAGTATAAAAAAAAGTCGATATACCTACTAGACGCCCTAGAGCCTTACTATAGCCCCTCCGATTAGGCTAATATTTAGTACCCTATAGGCTAGTATATTAGGGCGCCTCTAGACTAGATAGCTATAGAATACGGAGTATCCTATATATATCTCGATAAATACTAATCCGATTTCAATAAAAATTACACCGTTAGAACCGCGCGGGTCGGTTCTATTAAACGTGAAATTTTTATAGAAATCGACCACCTTCGAATTTGGTGTTAGTAGGTGTTGGCTAGTGTTGGCTCTAACTTCGGCGGTTAATATCTCAATGAATATTGATTCGATTTCTATGAAAATTACACCGTTAGAACCGCGCAGGTCGGTTCTATTAAACGTGAAATTTTCATGGAAATCGACCACCTTCGAATTTAGTGTTGGCAGGTGTTGGCTAGTGTTGGCTCCAACTTCGGCGGTTAATATCTCAATGAATATTGATTCGATTTCAATGAAAATTATACCGTTAGAACCGCGCGGGTCGGTTCTATCAAACGTGAAATTTTCATGGAAATCGACTACCTTCGAATTTAGTGTTAGTAGGTGTTAGCTAGTGTTGGCTCTAACTTCGGCGGTTAATATCTCAATAAATATTGATTCGATTTCAATGAAAATTACACCGTTAGAACCGCGCGGGTCGGTTCTATCAAACGTGAAATTTTCATAGAAATCGACCACCTTCGAATTTAGTATTGGCAGGTGTTGGCTAGTGTTGGCTCCAACTTCGGCGGTTAATATCTCAATGAATATTGATTCGATTTTAATGAAAATTATACCGTTAGAACCGCGCGGGTCGGTTCTATCAAACGTGAAATTTTCATGGAAATCGACTACCTTCGAATTTGGTGTTAGTAGGTGTTAGCTAGTGTTGGCTCCAACTTCGGCGGTTAATATCTCAATGAATATTGATTCGATTTCAATGAAAATTATACCGTTAGAACCGCGCGGGTCGGTTCTATCAAACGTGAAATTTTCATGGAAATCGACCACCTTCGAATTTGGTGTTGGCAGGTGTTGGCTAGTGTTGGCTCCAACTTCGGCGGTTAATATCTCAATGAATATTGATTCGATTTCAATGAAAATTATACCGTTAGAACCGCGCGGGTCGGTTCTATCAAACGTGAAATTTTCATGGAAATCGACTACCTTCGAATTTAGTGTTAGTAGGTGTTGGCTAGTGTTGGCTCTAACTTCGGCGGTTAATATCTCAATGAATATTGATTCGATTTCAATGAAAATTACACCGTTAGAACCGCGCGGGTCGGTTCTATCAAACGTGAAATTTTCATGGAAATCGAGCTATTAGCTCCTACTTTATAAGTATATAGAGAGTATTAGTTTCCATTCTATATATATCGGCTAGTTGGTCTAGTGGTATGATTCTTAACTATTAATGATTCTATTTCTCCCGGCTATACTACTTAATATAGTCCCCGCTATATAAAGGTATATGTCTTAAAGGAGTTATAAGATCGATGGGGGTTAAGAGGTCGTAGGTTCGAGTCCTACACTAGCTATTTTTTTTTATTTATACGTAATTAATAGGAAATATACTTGTCGTAGGTTCGAGTCCTACACTAGTCCTACACTAGCTATTTTTTTTATTTATACGCAATTAATAGGAAATGTACTTAAATCTTGAATTAAATATTACTACTATCAAGCTAATACCCTAGCTAATAAGCTAAGAAATCCGGGGTAAGTTAAATTCCCCTTTAATCTTTGTTTCGATTGACGTTCTACGCTGAAATCCGGGGTAAGTCAAATTTCCCTTCAATCTTTGATTGCATATTACTTCTGCGAAATTTCTCAGCCAATCATTTCGGTCTTAGCGGACAACTTGGATTTTCGCGGGCGGTGGCCGCGGTGTCTAGATTGGCAGCTGCGCTGCCAATCACATGTGCGCTGGGCGAAGAAAGTCGTGAGCATCGACACACTGCGATCCGAGCGGGCGGGTCTTGGCGCCGGAAATGAGGGAGGGCCTGGAGCCGAATCGCAACGACTTCATGTGATGGAACTTCCTGCTTGCTTATGAGGTAGTCGCATAGCACTCGGCAAGTGGACTTTCACTGCCACGGTTGCTGCTGCTGCTGCGAGAACTGAACTTGACAAAAGCTCACTTGACGACAGGGCATTGGCCAGCGCACCTTTCCCCCCGACAGCACAGCACATTAGTAACGGCAACTGCGACTGGAAAAACTTCTTCCGGTGCACCCACAGCCTCGCCGGGCTTCAAAGTCTACTATGAACACGCCAACACCTCGAGATCCCGCGTGGCTTGATGACTTGGCCTTGCTGCATTCATTCCAACACCAGCTTTCGCCATCCGGGACCAGCAGATACCGCCTTTGCACTGGTCGAGACAAGATTGCATCCGCGTATGCCCACATTGTCGTCCTTCATGCGATGAGGCACTTTCCATTCTACCATCCATGGCTCCTGCTGAAGTCACCGCCACTCACTGTGACTAATTCCTATTCTACCCGCTCACACAGCTGTTATCATGAAGTCACGGGTGCCCACTACTACTAATTGCTATTCTATACGCTCACACAGCTGTTATCGTCGGGTGGACAGCGAGTGGTTCATCTGGGAGGACACGAAGCAGGCTGGGAGGCTGGGTATAAGTATTCCTGCTCCCCCCTCCTCTCTTCTTCTTTCTTTCCCCCTTCAGCATAGCATCAGCTTCCAGCAGTATTCACAGCATTCAGCCAACAGTAGCAGACCATTGTCACTACGCATCGCAGAACAGCAGAACACAGCAGTAATCGCAGCATTCAGCCAAGAGTAGCAGACATTGTCACGTCACTACGCATCGCAGAACGGCAGATTACAGTAATCACACAGCATTCAGCCGAGAGTAGGAGGCAGTGTCACTACGCATCGCAGAATCGCAGATTACATTTCGAGAGTGCGTCGCATCTGTGCAGATCTTCGCCTTACTCCGACTTTTCACAAGGCCAGGGGCAGAGTCACTGTGCTGAAAAGAAAAAAATTCACATCCAAAACCATTCAAGACTTTGAAGTTGGGAAAAATGACTTCATTCACTCCTCTTTGCAACCCTTTTGCAAACCTCCGGGTCGAGGCGCCAGACAACCTTGCTATTCGCAAGACGTTGGAAGACATGGCGCATCGCGAGACGCCAAATGACTTGGCGATGCCGGATTTCGCGCTCCCTGAGGGTGTCGATTCCTGGTCTCTGGCGACTCCCTCCACGCCTTCGGGAGAAGACGACCCTGACGACACATTCCCGTCGTTCGAGGAGGCACTTGGACCGGACTTCAACGGATGCAATACTCTCGCAATCAAGAGGTTCCGGCATATGCCACTCCACCCACAGCATCTCAGGCCGATCACGGCCTTCGAAGACATCCGCTTCGTCCTCCGCAGCATGCGTCTCGAAGCGCTGCAGGAGAGGCATGCTGCCATCAAAGCAGCTGCCGACAAAGACAGAGCACGAATAGCTCTTGTCGCATCACCAAGGTTCAGTGAAGCCATGGTCAAGCGCAATTCCCAGCGTCGCAAACGCCGCAGGGGTGGCAGGCGCTCGTCAAAAGACGAGAAGCTGCTCACCAAGAATCCAGCGGCGCGCGTTCGCAAGGCTGGCAACGTTCGCAGCCAATGACTTCCCTTCTCTGGAAGTCAGGAGCTCCACGGCTCCAGGAAGGCCACACCCTTCCGACAATGAGAGAGTCTGGACCCATTCATGCTGTCCCTAAAGGACTGGGCATTCTTCACTCTCAACATCCGGCTTCGCTCGAACAATTTCGAGCAGTGCCAAAAAATTCCACAAAGGCGATCGAATCCCGTGACATCCCAGAGTCACTTCGACGCCAGGAAAAATCGCGGACAAGTCCTGGATTATCGAGTCCACTTGTTTTCCGCTTTCGCAAACGGCAGACGTTGATCCGGTCTGACAACAGTGTAAGTCTCGAAAGCGACTGCTGTTGGGCTGGACGCAGCTCTCGCTTCGGCACCAGCGTAAGTCTCGAACGCGGTTGCTGTTGAGCTGGGTTTGCAATTTTCACTCGGTCTGGTAACAGCGTAAGTCTCGAACGCAGTTGCTTGCTGGGCTGGGCGTATTGTCGCCACTCTCAGATCGTATGGACATCGCTCTCCCGATGGATCTGAACTTCGCAGACACAAAATGTCTGCACCCCGATCGACTCTCCAGGGCAAAAGCGGTCGCTTAAAGGACAACCAAGCTCGAAAGTTCTGGTCTGGCAAGGCGTAAGTCTCAAACGCGGTTCTTGCTGGGCCGGCACGTCTCCTTTATCCGGTCTCACACTGCGTAAGTCTCGAATGCGGTAGTTGTTGGGCTGGGTTCGCCGGCAATGATTCACTTCGGTTCGGCAACAGCGTAAGTCTCGAACGCGGTTGCTGCTGAGCTTGGGTATACTGGTAACGTATCGTATTGGTCTGGCATTGCGTAAGTCTCGAACGCTGTGACTGCTGGGCTGGTATTTGGCAACGGATTGTGTTGGTCTGGCATCGCGTAAGTCTCGAACGCGGCGACTGCTGGGCTATACATGACCTCTTGGTCTGGCATGGGCGTAAGTCTACAACGCGGTCATTGCTGGGCTGGGATTACTGGTAACATCAAGCACCACGGTCTGACATTGGCTTAAGTCTACAACGCGGCCATTGTTGGGCTGGGTTTGCTGGCGAATAAGAGGGATCACATGGCCTGGCACAGCGTAAGTCTATAACGCGGTTGCTGGTGGGCACATGAAATCTCGACACGTTAAGAGCTTGCCCAAGACCTTTTCGCGAAGAAACCGCGCTCTCGATCACCCCAGTCGTTTTCCCGATGGGACGCGTCCAAACGCGGAGCCGCCGACAAAACTGGGTCATCTCCAGGTTGGTCTGCTCAACGACGACAAACGAACGGTCAGGTCACAGACCATTCACCACCGATGTGCTAGCTCTCGTGCGGAAGAGAGGCGGCCTTCGAAGACTGAACTGGGTCAGTATAAACCCATCATCGACGCCTCGGATTCGTTTTCAGAACGCATGATGAAAAACGACGCCGATGTCCAATTCCGGCACTTCCGAGGAAAGAAACAAAACCCCGATCCCGCGCCTGAAGCAGACCATTACTGAGCCATCCTTACCGCTCCGCGAGATCACCGCGTCCAAAAGTACAAGAAAAGGCTGCTAGGCAAGATCACAGGCCGAGAAATGACGTTACTGTCACCGGCCGGTCGAAGTCCCTCATCGAGCATAAGGTTAGCTCTGTTCGCATGAGATGATCCGACACCCTCCCGTTGCAGAAAAAGTCACATCCCTGCACCCAAACCGTGTCTTCGGCACGTAAGTCTTGTGGCGATCGAAGTCGCATCGAGCCGCACCTCACAGCCGTTTCGTTTCCTTCAAAGGCGTGAGAAGATTTGCAAGACTTGAAAGCCATGTTCACATCAACCTCACATGGCTCTACTGCGTCACGCATGGTGAACAGTAGAAACAATATCGGAACATCCACCGAGTTACTGAAATTTCAATTTCGGATTTGGCTACAGCGGGTCGAAGACGCATCGACAACGCACCTCGTTACGGACAAATCAAGAGCCGTCGTATCTCAACACACCTTTTGGAAAACCACGACTAAAATCAGAACATCCACTGATTTGTATGCCTCCGTCATCGAAGTCGCATCGAGACACCCCGTCGTACGAGAAGAACCCAAAAAGCCATCGTGACTCAACCCACCTTTTAGAAACTCACGAAACCACAAATTTTCTGAACCGAAACCAACTCAAACAAAAGGCCGGGTCCCAATACGGTTGGTTCTCAGGGTGGCCATTGAGTTTGTTTTAAAACAAAACAAACCCACGGGTTATAAAGCGCAGCAAAGACAAAGACAAGAGAGAACTGCACCTCCAATGTCAGCCTACGTGTCTAACTTCACGCTTGGCCCGAGACCCATTACAAATCGCTTGAAACACCATGATTGCTTCTACAGAGAAGAGGAGTTTCATACTACAGGTCACACACAGTAGTACCGGAAAGAACTCCAAAGATGAGATTCGCTGTTGGAAAAGGTCCAAAGGAGTGAGGAATTTTTTTTTGATGTTGAAGGAAGTTGGATTGCTATGCTATATTTTGAGAGACAGAACTGTCGAGGAGAAAGCAAAAATCCGAAGCTCGAAGCATCTGCTAGGCCGGATCAGAGAAAACCGGTGATTTCCTTACGACAAGCTCGAAGCACGCCTGTCCATCTTTAACGGATGGAAAGGAAATGGCTGCTAGGCTGAAATTTCACTCGGACACCAGAGGCTTACCTGGTTCAACAAAGCCCCTTAGATTCGTTTCGCGGGGCATCAGAGGTTTTTTTTTTTTTTTTTTTTTTGGCTGCGATCCAGAGCCCTGGAGCCTTGGTTTGGGTTGGTTGAAAATTAAGCAGCGGACGGTCATAATCTCTTAAGAAGTTTGAGAAGGTGAGACCGACGGTATGGGGCGAAGGACGGGGCTCTTTACGGAACTGCTTGAGAGTTGGGAAGGTGGGAATGTGGGAAGTAGAGGGGGGGGATTTTTAGAAGTAGTTGCAACGGACGGCCATTTTATCTCTTACGACGAAGACGTTTGAGATGGTGAGGTCGACGGTATAGGGCGAAGGACGGGGCCCTGTACAATTATACAACCCTTTTTCGAGAGAGTCGGTGCATCAGTTTCATTGACAGATCTTGGCGCTTTCATCTCCTGCCGATGTTTTCTCGGATGCGACTGAGGTTGCTGATGCTGTGATGGAGGCAATCGCTCTGTGCATTTCGCGAGATCGCAGTCGAGGAGCGGTTCGGTGTTAGGATTCTCGCGAAGCCTTGAATTGCTTCGACGCCTGTGCTGTGATGCATGCCATCCACTCTGCGCTTTCCGTCAAGGAGCGCTTGGGCAGATGCCATCGTCGCGACGAGAATACCGCTTACATTTCCATGCGGGACTGCACGCCGCCGAGGTCTTATCATAGCTACCTCTTCCGTGGTTGCTTGTTGCAGCATCTTCGCGGCGAGTGGATTGCTCTTGCTGCTTGACGTGGTGCTGTAGTGCTTGTCAGGAGTGAACCGGTTCATCTTCGCAGCGATTACGATCCTTCGTGCCGATGCCCTGCCTGAGGTTGTAGCTCTCACGCTTGAGGAGCCGACGATGTACTTCCGACGATCTTGTTGCTCCGTGCCAACGTTGTTTCCCTGGTGATTTCTATACGGTTCAGCATCAATGGGCGACTTTGCGGTCCGCGAGCCGTTGCGTTCGAGTATGGTTGGTATCGCTTATATCTCCCATCGCTCCCGCTCCATGCCAGTGTGGTGTTGCAGGCTCTGAAGGGCATGCCTGTACAGTTCTGCCGAACTGGGAGCGTCGTGGTGAGAGATTGCGAGAAGAGAGAGCGCAGCTCAAGAAAGAAGATCAACATGGAAGCTCCAAGATTGGCTACACGAACGTAGCTGAGGATACATGGACTGGTGTAGCGCTTACTAGGACGTCGGAGATACTGACATCGCTCGTCGCTTCGTGGAGAAGGCCCCCAAGCGTACCTACGACTCCTACCACCTCTCGCTGCTCTACGTCACACTGCTCCTTCTACAAGGACGCAAATCCCTTGGCCTATGAAGACAAGTGCATCAGCCCCAGGCGGTATCCCAGCAGCTGCAAAGTTGAGCCGCGAGTCCGTAGGCGCAGAGGAAGCATTGAACGGGCCGAAATGTGTCATGGGCGAATGCGAAGGTGGTGGACAACATGATGTCTGGATTGTTGATTTGGCCGCATCTTGGCAGGCGGCGACTGTGTTGTGCTGTTCTCCTCCTGAGAAAAGGTCACGATTAGATGAGCAAGAAGTCTCGGGCGTTTGCGCTGTACAAGCGGTGGAGCGAGGGAATGATACACGAGGAGGCCAGTTGGAATGGGTTTGTGCCACATCTTCTTGAATCCGATTGAGATATAGTGCTGACCTCTAACCAGCAATATCTACCTTAGCTGGTCCTGTCTGAGCAGCGTCTATTGCACCATTCGAGAGCACATCTTGCTGCTCACTGAAATGTATCCTCTCGGCCTGCTCAATGCATCGCATATTCGCCGCAAGCTTGTTGATGGTCTCCTGATACTCTTCCCCCTCGTCACTATCAAATACGATGCCACCTCCGGCTTGAAGATATGCAACGCCGCCCTTCGTCATCATGGTCCTCAATGCAATGCATGTGTCCATTGCGCCTTCTCTTTCTTCTCCGGTAGCAGGATTAACGCTGTTGTATCCGAAGTAGCCGACTGCGCCAGCATAGACTCCCCTCTTCTCGCCCTCAAGCTCAGCAATAAGTTCCATCGCTTTGACTTTGGGTGCGCCGCTGACCGTGCCGGCTGGGAAAATGGAGCGGAAAGCATTGAATCTATTCTGGCCCGGTCTGAGTACACCTGACACTTCAGAAACGAGATGCTGCACGTGACTGAATCGCTGAACGACCATAAGCTTGTCCACTCTTGTTGTCAACGGGTCGCATACGCGATTGACATCGTTCCTTGCCAGATCGACGAGCATGACGTGCTCTGCTCTATCCTTGATGCTGCTGTGGAGTGTGTCTGCGAGTGCCATGTCCTCTTCAGGTGTCGTACCACGTTTTATAGTACCTGCGATCGGATGGGTGATGATGCGGCCAGCCTCCTCTTTCACAAGTACTTCTGGACTGGCGCCAATGATCTGAAAGTCCTCACAGTCCAAGTAGAATAGGTAAGGCGAAGGGTTGACAGTGCGTAAATGTTCGTAAATGTTGAAAGGGTGCAGATCGGTCGGCCGTGCGATGCGCTGTGAGGGAACGGCCTGGATGATATCGCCCTTCACAATGTGCTTCTTCAGCCGAGTTACATGCCTTTCGTATCCCTCACGACCGATGTTGCTGGCATATTCGTGATCCAACCTGATCTTCTTCTGCGGTACCTCTGGAGTCTCCTTGCTCTTCAACACTTGCACCAGCTTTGCAAGTTCTTGCTTGCTCTCGTCATACGCCGCTTGAAGCGCATCATCCGAGCACTCGCCTGTCGGCACATGGAGATAGCTGATCACCACGGCCTTCTGGGAGAAGTGGTCGAGCGCAACTACCGAGTCATAGAGCATGAAAAGGCTCTCTGGCACTTCCAAGATGTCCTTCATGGGTCTCTTCGTCTTTGGCTCAAAGTACTTTACACAGTCATAGCCCACATATCCAATCGCTCCGGCGGTGAGAGGCGGGAGACGTAGAGATGAGATGTCTGCGATGCGGTACTGGGAAAGCTCCTTATCAAGCTGAGGCAGAGGATCCGCCTCGAGTCCATGTTTCGGACCAGATACGAGTGTCTTGCGCGGATTCGCACCAACAAAGCTGTATCTTCCAATGGTCTCTGAGGTTGCAGCTGACTCGAACAGAAAGGACAGCTTCGACTTGGCTGCGACCTTGAGGTATATCGTGGAAGGAGTGAGTCGGGAGGAGGGTATGGATGTGCACACAGGTATCAGATTGGGCGCATTGGCCTTTCCTTTGGTCGATTGTACGATCTTTTGGACTTCTTCAAATGATGGCTGGACGGCAATCTGGGAGTAATCCAATGTCAGCTTGACCGCCAAAGCAGATATTGCTAGCACAATTCCCTACTCACATTTGGCGCCATCTCTGCAAGTCTGCTATGGCACAGGCCTGGGTGATGTCAGGAACACAAAAGGGCTCACTGCCACCAGCATGGGTATCGACGGTGTTGTGTGAGTAACTTATTATTGAAGCTCCGCGACCAATATTTCAATAACAGCAGCACTATGCCTCTTTCAGCCTGCCGGGCTTTGCCGAGCTCATGTTTTGTTTCGTGTGTGCAGCCGTGGCTCTGGCGACTTCAGCTCTTTCAAGGCTCGCATTTCACGGAGGCGCAGTGTGGTGTGGTTGGTATGATCCAAAGGCTTCCACGTGTTGTGCTGCAGCGCTAGCAGTGGTACGGTACGGCAGAAATGATGCTGCAGTCCAGAAGAGCTTCGGGAACACGCGGAGCTCTCCGAGCCTTGCAAGAGGTACTCCGCTTTGACCATGATGATCGTGCCCTGACCTGAGGTTGAAAGAGCTATGGCCCATGGGCCATAGCGCTGATGAGGGTAGCACAGCAGCCAGACGTACGACCAACTTGATATGGTGGTCTTGCGCCTTTCTCCTCTCGCAACCAACATCCTCGGATTCACAGCCCTCGACGCCTGTGCAACGCTGGTGGAGACACACGTGCGCTATCTTCCGATGATTGGCGCATGCACGACATTGGATAGCTTGGCAGCGTGACAACGGCTTTCCACGCATCATCCCGCCAACCGCCAACCTTCTTTTCCTCATCCGCAACGCCCTCTCGAGTCTCGAGGTGCAGAGTGAGGTGTTGGTTATTAGTGTGAGAGTCGCAGCGGACGTCCGACAGGTTCGACAACCTGTTCTTGGGAGCCTCGACCATCATGTCGTCGTCGCCGACTTCACCTACTAACCACTCCTCCTCTCCCTTTCCCTCACCTAGTCCTTCTTTGCCTGCTTGGCACTTTCCCTTTGGTCCTTCTTCTATTTACCACCAGCGCGAGCGCCCTAAGCCGCAGCATACGCGCTTTAACAGCTCGTACACTCCGAGAGCTCCTGTCTTGAGCACGGAGAAACGAGCGCATCGACGCGCGCAGAACAGTAGTCTGGGCAGCTTGACATCCCCGCCGTTGAGCGAATGCAGCCGAAGCCCGCTATCACGATTTGCAAGCTACCCTTCGACAATGGCGAAGTCCAAGAACAATAATGCGCCAATTACACCTGCGAAAAGCTCACGTCACAGCCTTTCTTCACTGCAAGGTTCGCCTTTCTCGGATTACTTCTCGGACGACGCGCGATCTTCCATCAACCACAACCACGCCATTCCTTCATATGAAACGAAAGCATTGCTTGTCAGGATGAACAAATTGCAGGCGCAACTCATGCGCGACAATTCCGAACATCAGCGCCAATCAATAAACATCGTCGAGAAGAAGTTGGGTGAGATAGAGTTGGAGCTGAACGCATTGCACTCTCAGACAAGGTTGCCGGGTGAGATTGAAGACTCGGCAGTAGTGTCGTCGGAACAGGATGGAGCTGCGAAGGCACCGTCCCACAGTCGTGGACCATCGACTCAGAGCGCCAACAGCAGCGCGGTCTTCAGCGATGATCAAACAACACCCGAAAACTACAAAGCCGAGCGAGACTGGCTGCTCCTCCGTACGCAAGAACTTCTTGAAAACCTCAGCAGTGTCACAGCCGAGCTTCGCCAACGCCACAACGAAGTCAAGGAGATGAATGAGGCTCACAGCGTGGAGATCGAAGAAAAAGACACCCAAATCGAACAGCTTCGTTCTGAAAACGAAGGCCTGCGTCAGGATCTCGGCTTCGAATATAGCGAACTGCTCTTTCTCAAGCTCCAGATGAATGCACTAGAATGCGAAATGTCAGAGCTCCGCGACGAGAAAGATGACGGACCACCGACGAACGCAGCAGAAAGAGCGCGCCGCGAAAAGAAGAATCGCATTCTATCCGAGCTGGACCGCTGGCGGACAGACTCGGATTGGCAAGATGTTTCAGCACGTTTCAAACACCGACGCAGTAAATACGGTATCACAACATCTCCGACCGCTTCTTCCACATCTCTTCTCAACGCCGACCCAGAGATCGAGTGGCAACTCGAAACTCAGCGCGAAACCCGCGGCCGCATTACCAATTTGACCATTAAACGCATGGACAGCAATTCTGGCGAAGGAGAAGAAGAAGTGCAACCCGTCACCTTGAATGGTACGACGGCAACACTCCCACTCCCACCACCTAAATTCCCCTCTCCCCCTACGTTCACTTACGTCGAAACCTCCACCCAAACCTCCGACTTTTACATCCCGGAGGAAGAGGACAACCTACTCTGCAACAACGATGACGAGCATTCCAATCCCGACCTCGATGACGAATGCGCAATCACAACTTCCGCATCCTCAGTCATTCTTGATCCCTACGAAAACGTCGAGGAAGCAGAAGAAGAAGAAGACGAAAAAACCTTAAAATCTGCTGATCTACGTTGGAAACCCGCTTGGAAAGAACTTTGGGCTGGGTTACAAAGTCTTTCGGGAATGGTTGATGAGGATGAGGATGAGGAAGATGATTGAAATCATGCACATGTTTTTTTTGACGGCTGATGCATTGGCTTGGACATGCATACACTCATTTTGAAAAAGAGGAGGAAGAAAGGAAGGAAGGAATAGATGATACCCCCCGCCACGGCGCAGGAAAAGTTTGTGGAGAACTCTTCTCGTATTTTCGTTTTTGGCAAGTGAGGTGATGTGCTTTTTTCCGGGCATTTGCATCACTTTTTAGTAGTTAGCATGCATAGAGCGATGCATTGGCGGCGTAGGTTATTACGGTAATGTTCAAAAAGTTTGAAGAGCAAAGTCAGAAACATTCTCATTTTCATGGTAATCTAGTCGTGGCCAATGTGGCCTGTATGTATGCTCCATGCTCAATGGCATGTCGGTGTGTATGGTGAGACCTCAGATAGGCTTGCAAGTCTTGAATGTGACCTCATGCCGTGGTCCTGCTTGCCTCCTGCCGCAGTGTTCTTCCAAGCCTTGAATGTGACCTCATGCCGTGGTCCTGCTTGCCGCCTGCTGCAGTGTTCTTCCAAGCTCGATGCTCTTGTCGAAATTGGTACGTGCTACCATTTAGTCCTCGTCAGAGCTAGCGGCCTCGAGATCCTCTTCCTCGTTGCCCACAGCCTTCTGCTGACGCTCGTCGTCTGCGAAATCGTAGAAGATACGGCTGCGATTCTGAATACGTTAGCATGAATCGCGATTGAGAGCGTGAATTCTCGACGTACCTTGCTTGCCTTCACCTTGGCAAACTTCTTCGGGTCAGCAGCCCCAGCGCCGGAGCTCGCTACAGAAGCAGGGCCCTTCTTAGCACCCGGGTTGCCATATCCGTTGCGGTCGAAGACGGCTGGAGGAGTAAGAGAAGTAGATGCGGTGACGCTGGTGCCAATGGTGCTCGAAGCGCGGGTGCTGGTGTTGGCGATGCTGCTGCCATTGACCTGGACGCCCCCGGTGCTGCGAGACGAGTACGTGGCCGCTGTGCCGTTGCTGAGAGACACTGAGGCCGTCTTGTCAATGACATTCTCCAAAGTGTATTCTTCGCCGCTGTCGTCGTCAGTGTCGCTGTTGCCGCCGGAGGACATGTCAGAATCCGCGGCGCCAGGCTCGAAGTTGGCGCGCTCGTTCTTGCATGTCCAGCACATCTGTGGGGAGTCGTTAGCACTCAACTCTGGAGTGAGCTTGGTCCATGCTTACCGCCTCGTCAGGGGTGCGACGCTGGGTGTTGGGAAACTTGTCGAGACTCTTCGTCTTGTCGCACATATAGCAAGTCAATTCGGTGCGCGAGCGCGGGGTGCATTCCATGCATGTGATGACTGCGGTCTTGGTCGAGTTGAACCCAGGGCGCTTTGCGGCATCTTGGAGCTGAGGGAGGCGGTTCTTAGCGAAAGCCGTGACCTTCTTGACGATCTTGCATCGGTCGCATTTGATGCTGTAACTGGTCAGTCTGGTACATAAGTGGTCATGGAAATAGCTCGACTCACTCGGAAAAGCCGACGTTGGTTGCATCCACGGTGTGCTGGTTGTAGCAAACCGTTCCGGGCATGGTGGCGATTGGTAGGTCAGTAGTGGTGCTGGCTGAGAGTGTTGTTGCAATGGAAGTGGTCCGACGTGGTTGTCCTGGCGCGTGATGAAGTGTGTTGAGAGGACTGATTGTCGAGCGTGTTTCAAGCAAGTTGTAGAGGCGAATTTGGAAGTTTAAAAGGCGGAGTGTTGCGCCGCACTTGCCTCACTTCATCAAGTGAGGTCGAAGCTAAGCCAGGGCAGGAGACCGGTGAGAGCGCAAAAGTGGAAGGCATGATGAAGTGTCAATTTCTCACGGAGTCGATACATGTAATGTAATGAAGAGCATATCACACCACAGTGCGATTGGAAGTGAGGATCTAGGCAAGGAAGAGCACAAGAAGAAAGAACAAAAGCTCGGGGGCGATGTCCAGCCCTACACTGATGCAACCTACTGCGCTGATGTTGAATGACAGTACCCAGCCAGGACTCAGATTTGCAGCTTCTCCATTGCGTTGAGATTCGAGGCGCGATTCTTTGTGAGCCAGAGGGAAGGAAGTGCGGTGAAGTCGTCCTGCTCACTGTGTGCGATGAGAGGTCTGAGTCTGTGAAGCACCTACAGAATCCAACCAGAACTTCTACCAAGGACATGGCTACCACTCATCAGCAAATTCTACAGCACCAGAGAGAGAGAGAGTAGACTTACCTTGTCCCCCCATGTCCAGAAAGTTCCGCTGTCATCTAGATGTTTGCTTTCGATTACCGGAATGCACGAAGACACGCTCTCCGCTGGAGTCATTTGTCCAACGACTTCCCAGCCCAGATCGATGTTCGCCATGTCTGTAGCCACCTCTCCTGGATGAAGAGCAATTACAACGGTCGTGCTATTCTTGCGCTGCAACTCGGCCGCCATGTGCCTCAGCATGTGGTTTAAAGCAGCCTTTGACGCCGCATATGCAGCGAATCCATCTTCCTCCGGTCGAAATGCTTGAGCAGAGCCAGAGTCGCTCGAGATGAAAGCAATCGGGGTGGCATTCAGTCAGTCCTCACATTCGGATATTTCAGCACTCCGGCACTACGTACGAGATAGTCTATTCGCTGGACACCATCTTGGAGTAGTTTCGCAACAAAAGCATTGATGCTCGGCTCGCCAAGAATGTCTAGATCATAGATCGAGGGCCTCACATCGCTCGGCCAGCGGGATTGGGCTTCTTCAGCGATCGCTTTCCGTGTCGTTGCGATGACATTGTGCTGGCTGTCCAGAAGCTGTTGCACGAACTCGGCGCCGATTCCTCTGCTCGCACCAACTATTGCCCAGGGCTTCTTCATGCTGGCCATGCTGGTGCTGGCGTAGCAGCGTGCAGGTTTCGCGAGACTGCAAGTTCTGCTTCGGATACTCCGTAGTCCAGGAACGGGGAAGCTCCGATCGAGCCTAGCGGCGCCTGCTACCGCCCGACGCTTGCGTTCTACAGTCAACTATCAACAATCAACAAACAGCAGCACTCACGTCTTAGTATACAAGCTCTACTACTACATCAGTAGCGCGTAATAGAAGCTTCACCCGGCACTTCATCAAAATGGCAGCTATCAACGATCCCCAGCCTGATTTCGACGAGCTAGTACAGGCGTCTCAGACCTTTGCGAACAATTTTGGACGCTTCAGAAACCTGCCCGCAGTAGACAACGGCGGCGCGATCTTGACCGTAGTCCAGGGCCTACAGGAGCAGTTGCGACAGATGCAAGAGACGCAACAACAGATGCAACAGCAGATGCAACAGCAGATGCAACAGATCCAGCAGCAGATAGTGGGTATGGAAGAGCGTTTAATCGTACGCATCTCTATAAGGTTACAAGCTCTACTACTTATCCCTCTCTAGATGCTCGATTTAAGCTAATAAATCTGTGATAGCGATGCCAACAACCTTGCTCGCCTCGCCAATTCACAGATTGCGGCGCCCGACCATGCTCTTATACCGCTACGAAGTACAACAAATACTCCAATTGACAATTTTCCCGCTACACCTGCTGCTATCGCAACACTCTCGCAAGCAAGTCTAACGACTTTGCTTAGAGCAGTCGGCGAGAATCCCTATGGAAGCGCTACGCTAAGACGTCAGTGCTTTCGCCGTGCTATTGGGTTGAAGGAGGCAGCTGTATAATATAGTTATACTAAGAGGAACGACATTCGATTACGCGCAAAATCGGTAAAGGGACAACAATCATTAGAGATAATGGCAAGTTGGCATAAGGAAGTATACGAAAGAGGATCGAAAAGGTTGGCATTGGCTCTGTTCATACACCGCTTAAGAAAATATGCATCTCAAATTGGCGTAGGATGGCATATCACACGGACGCAATTTTCCTTACAACTCGAGATCCTCCGTACTGAAGGCGAAGACGCCACGCTCGGGAAACGTCATGGGAAAGAACATCCTTGTCCGGTCAGATTAGGTTTAGGAGCACATGGGAGCTACGAGCTGTCGATGAGGCAAAGAAGAAGCTGTGACGGACTGCGAGACGGACTGGAGGACGATGGAAGCGTAAATCAGACAGCAAATGTGCAAAAGAACGCGCTGGATGCGGCGTTGAGGCGAGCGTCCAGGCTGGTGCTGCGTTCCGTAGAATTATCGTTGAATCACCGTACCTTTAAGTCAACGCCCATTGGTGCGGCTAAGGAGGCTGTTTTGCAAGGATCGCCTCTCCCATAATACTTTTCTCTCTCGTCTCGGCTGCATCATCTGCCCTTCTCTTTCCCTACCACACCATCACAATCCACCCTACGCCACTTTACGTTCCCTATCACCGCTTCCGCAATCCAAACCCCTTCCACACCACCGCACAACCAGTCCAACAGACACAATGGGCAAGGACGGCTTCTCAGACGGTACGCACCTCTTGACTGCCACTGCATCTTCAGCTTTCTCGGAGTGGCGCGACTTGATCAAGAAGCCATTGAAGGGTCTGCACGCATGCGGAGTGCTTCGCACAGAGGTGGCGACCTTTCAATGACTTCTGATCGCAAATGCGACTCCGACGCCCTCTCCAATCCTCTAGCCGATCTGCTTCAAGGAGCTTTACTGATGATCGTTCAGGTGATAGCAAGAAGGGTGCCAACCTTTTCAAGGTACGCAATTTGGCTTACAGTCGCGAGAAAATGCTCTCGGCGGGCGAGCCCCTTGCGCAAACGGGACCACCGGACTTCGGACTAACGGCAGTACAGACACGATGCGCACAATGCCATAACTTGAAGGAGGGCGAGGGCAACAAGATTGGACCAAACCTCCACGGTCTTTTCGGTCGACAGACTGGTCAGGTCGAGGGTTTCTCATACTCAGACGCAAACAAGCAAAAGGGCATTACATGGGACGAGGGCACACTGGTATGGAGACGCTTCGGCGGATTTCAGCTTGCCTCAGGGCAACAAGCTAATGACCGGCATAGTTTGAATACCTCGAGAACCCAAAGAAGTACATCCCCGGCACCAAGATGGCTTTCGGTGGTTTGAAGAAGCCCAAGGACCGAAATGACCTGATCACCTTCCTCCGGGACGAGACGAAGTAAAGAAGAGACGGCAGTAATGAGAGGTGGTGATGGCCCCAACGCGGCATCGTCGGCCGGCCGCCGACATACCTTGTACCACTACCTATACACGAACCTAGATTCCGGGGCTGAGCTTGCGATGGCGTACGATGCGCCATGGGATCCACGAGCTACGAATGGTTCGCTTCTGTTTTATATCACGTTCTTGCATTAGGGATTTCGGGTCCATGACGACCTTGAGTGTATCAGATCTTCTCTCTTCTGCCTTTTTCTCTTTCTCACGCGAACAGCATGTGATGGTATAAGAGGCCAGGTTGAGGCCATACTGACCGAGACATTAGACTGAGTGACAGTTCCGTCTCGGCAATATCATATCGGAGGACTGAAGGATGTCAAGAGACATAATCTGAACATTATTGGCATCTTTGGGAAGCGCGACATGCGACTCCAAGAGCTTGGAACAGCTTTCAAGCAGAATCGGATTAAAACCTCAATTGATGGCGACAATATAAGAAAGTCCCACAACAGGCCGACCCTACTTGTCTCGACCTACAACAAGTGCCAGGCGAGATTTTTGTAGCATGGCTTCAGCTCGGGGACGGAAGGGCATCTAAACTCCATTGAGTGAAGGATCTGATTCATTCAACCTGGCATGCTCTCGTTCTGCGAGAGTGGTTGAGATAACGTGGGTAGGATTGAGCTCTTCGACGCTCCCGCCGCACAGATGAGATATTTCCGTGCCCTCGAAGTCGGAAATGAGGCAACGACAGAGTTGTTGGGTATGGAAGTCGAGAGCTGCTTCCGTCTTGCCTAGGAAGTATAGCAGTCTGCGGAATTGAGCAATGTCTTTCACCAGCCTTCGCTGCATACCCAAGCTTGCGAACTGCATTTTCACACGTCCTCCGCCGCATTCTCCTCTGGGCAGCTCACAATAGCAAGAAGAACTTACGCTTTCACCACAGTCTCCAGACGCCATTGTGGTAACGTTGGGAAGTTCAGTAATTTCCAAAAACAATAGCCAACAACAGTGCACTCAAGGCACAATAGCGACAATTGAACCTCACCCGCATGGACCTCCTTGGAATACTATATCCTTGGGCCTCCTGTCTCTCTTCTAACCTTTTCTTCTTCGTCCTACAGTCATCTGAGCAGCAGCAGCAGCAACAGCAACAGCAAGCACCACCTCCGCGACACCACACCACACCAACTCGCTTTGCTCCTCTCGCCACCAGACATGGACACCATGCGCACGATCTCGAACTCGGTGTACGCTGGACGTCACCTTCTCTGCGCGATTATCATGCTCGTCTCGTTGGTGAGCGAGCAATACCTCACCAGCATGCTAGCCCCTCTCCTGCTCGCAATATACCTGGAGCACACGTTTGGCGAGACCACCACCACCACCGCCACCGCTTCGCTTCCGCGCTGTTGACACCACCATGCCTCGCAGTCGAAATCCCGCTCCCGACCTTCTCGCCACCGCCTCGCAAATGCATCTGGATCCAAGAAGCAGAGAGAACTGCATCCATCATGCCTCACATCCAGCCCGCCTCCCGCTCCCGCCTCCCAAGGCACTACAAGCCCTTCGCTTCCGAGCTCTGCTTGGCTGACACCACCACGCGCGCGGAGTCGGACTCGCACAGTGTGAACGAAGGCACTACTCCTACCGCCAAATCACCCGTCGACACCACCTCACCTACTGTCATCCTCTTACCCCCAACCCACCCCTCTCCTCCCCCACCCACGCCGCCTTCGAATCAGCCTCCATACATCCCACTCTCCCCAAGTCCGCGACGCCGGCCGTCCGTCCGTTCACCCTCCACCTACGATTGGATTTCCGCATCGGCATCGGCACCAGAACTCAACTCTGCTCTGTGGCCTAAAATCCAACCTCCTCTAATGAGAGAGAAAAAAAAAGCCAAGAATTTTCCGAGCCTCGTGCCTGCCGTGTGGAAAGAAAGCTACCTATGATGTTCAACATCCACATCCTCTGGTCGTGATCGCTCGGAGATCGGTGAGGCTGGACTGGAGGTTATGGTGGGTTGGTTGGAGGGGGGCGTGGCGTTTTTTTTTTTTTTTTGAGGAGATGAGATGAGGGCTGGTTGGTGAGCATGAGCATGAGCATGAGGTTGCGGGTGTGTTGTTTCGGTGTAAGAGTTTGTTGGCTGCGCGCATGCCGCGCGCGGACCGCGATTGGGTCGCCACTCGCAACAAGAAGGGCCCCCTGCTTGAGGACGTCGAATATGACTACGCCACGGAGGATGCTGATCCTGTGAAGCTGTGTCGCGGCCTGGGACGCGCAGGCGTGATGGGCAGATACTGGGCACTCAACGATGAGCAACGCGGCGACCCATACCTTTGCCTGCCTGACGATCTCGCCGCAGCCATCAAGGCCAGGGCGCTCGTCCCTTCTCATCGGCGCCCAGTGACGTTGGTTCTCCCTCTCCCTTCCTTCGCGATAGTATGGTCATGGCCCTATACTAGGTACTCGCAACCATGTGTCGCAATGCGCTTAGAAACACTTTTGAAGGAACACGCTTAAGAAAATGACCACTTCACCCCACGCGCTTGCTGCTTTGTCTTTGCTTCCCTCTGTAGTACCGTAGGTTCTGAGATCGAGTGAGTACTTGCCATCCTCACTCGGCTCCCACTTCGCCTCTAGTAAGTAGTCCGTGGCACTGAAGTCAGAGAAGTGTTCTTTCTCAACGCTATAGTGGGAGATAGAATACGGCAGAAGACAGGGTGAAGCGTCTTACTTAAAACAGCTCCTAGGCACGCACCATCATTCACGAGGACATCCTTCCAGAAGTACTCGTGTATGCAGTGTTATCTTAGCACCAAATCCTCCTTCCAAACATCATCCTTAATCCCCCGTAGCACGTCATAGGAGTCGAGGAGCTGTAATAAGCGATTCCTGCGAGTATGGCGCGTACAGAAACTGAAAAGTAACAGAATGAAATCCCGAGTTTTCTGCGAAGATACCTTACTCACCTTCAAGGCACTGCTATTATGCTTGCTCTTATGATCGCCAGCTGGAAGTCAAAAAATTCCTCGCGCCTAGCCCGATGTGCTGCGCGGCTTGGAGAGAAATTTGACCAAGACACGGTGCTCCGTAAGTGAGAAAATGTCAGCTATCATCCACAAAAAGAAGACATTGCTCGATGAAGCTGAGCATCATGTCTGCTTCGCGTTCAGATGAAGCAACGCTTAGTCGGGATCTGCTGCCGCTTTTCTTTTCGGGTTTGAAGGCATCCGATCATCTTCGCTTTAGTGGTGAGATGCCCAGGATGAATTATAGGACTTCTGTGGTCAGTGGCTTTCCTCTGAGTCTTGCTAACGTACCTTGCTCTTACTTGATGTCAAATGCCACGCCTGAGCGGCCGCTGTGGTTGTACAAGTTTGCCAAGGTATGAACTGGTTTGATTAAGCTTTTGACAATAATCGTAGGGTATCATCAGCAATTCCAATCTATCTCGCACTGTATTTGCCTGAAAAAGGTGTAGCTTATGCAGTTGGCTACAATTCTTGCCCCCATGCCATGCGCAGTCCGGTCTTGGTCGTGTCATCTTGTCGTGTGTCCATTCGTGTAGCATCATCACTTCATCACACTGTCTTTGTCCCGGCCGTGATCGCGCTGGTCTGCTATGTCCTTCTCGATTTCTCCTCCGCAGTCCCCGGCGGCCGCGCTTCTCGGCTTGCCCGCCCGTCATGATGATGACCGCGCTTATTGCGGGAGTCTGGCGTTCTTGGCGGGGCCGCCTAGGCGCGAGTCAGAGCAGTAGACATGTGAAGGAGCGGCTTCTTCTAATTACTTTCGTCTCGGATGAGAGCAACGATCATGGAGTAGAGATAGAAGAAGAACATGAGCAAGTGGAAGCCCAGCTTGATAAAGGACTCCTTCTTGTGCACATTCAACTTTCGGAAGATCTCTGTCGCATCCAGAAGGTGCTGGTTCTCGAAGATCCTGCGTTCACACTGTCAGATGCCGTCGCATTTGCGCACAGCTGCACATGCATCCCATCCGCTCGACTTACTTCTTTCCGTTCCAAGCGATCAGCGGCAGGTTCAGCAGCAAGGGCAGCCAGTAGCCGTTGATCAAGAACAAGATGGTCAGGAATGCGTGGACGCCGGCTTCGGGGACGATGTACATGTTGAGGCGGTTGCAGAGATCGATTGGGTTGATGTAGTCGCATTCGAGATCGGAGTACATGATGGTGAAGAAGACTTGCAGGAACAGATTGACGGCATTGAGAAGGACGGCGAGCAGGAACAACCTGACGTGGAGACCTGCGATCAGCCAAATATCCTGCGTGTATACGTATACTGCACGCGTTCTGCTGTTTGCGCAGTGTTTGTAGGAGATTTTGGAGCTCGGACATACCACGCCTCGCCCGACATGGTGGGTGTGTCAAGCACTCGAGCGGAGCGCTATCGCGTGTGCAGATGGAATGGAAGCTTGAGGCAGTCGGTCTGTCCGCAAGCTCGCGCGGTGCTGTGGTGTTTCGAAGTCGAAGTTTCAACTTGCGGAGACGGGGACGGAGACGATGACGGAGACGGTGACGGAGATATTGAGAAGCTTGGATGTGGTTGACTCGTTGAGCCTCTAGAGGCGATCGTGTCCCGACAAGACCGCGTGGTCGGCGCAAGCGAGCCTACGAGCTGCAGATAACTGGCGCAAGGGCGGAGAGGACGTCGACAAGGCCGTACACAGTTCTGCCTGCCTGACGAAGCGGTATGCGTGTGTGGTAGACGTAGACGTTGCAGTGAACGAGGCGAGGCGAGGCTGGCACGTCGGCTGGGCTGGGCTGGGCTGGGCCTGCATTTGTTTTGACCCCACTCACTGACGAAATGCTTGGCAAGCTGCAGAACTGTTCGCAATGGCGCTGGCGTTGGCATGAGCCTCAACTGTCACCATATTCCTACAACACAGGCTCGATTTTCGTCCACCAGTGCAGAACGGCTCACGAGCACTACTTTCGCAGACAAGCCATGACCACAGCTTGAGCGATACCTTACAAGTATGGCCAGTTGTTTTGGGCGATGAGAGGGGGTGAGGATGGGGTGTTGGCGGAGAAAGGTGTCATGGGGTATTTGGATTCGACGCAGAAGAATCAGCACACCTCCGCCATGGCCACCGCTCGGCCATATGGTGGCTCTTGCTCCGAATGCACCTCAGGTTGTCCAGGGTATTGCTGGCGGTAGTAATGCTGTTCTACCTGCTTGGCAGAAGTCTTACGTCCACGCTGGTGAGTGTCCCAATGGTCCTTGGAAAGAGTAGAGCTCACTAACAGTATCCAGTCCTCTTTCGATCTTGGCTGCCGCTGAATTGCACATATCTGACAAACGTCACGACAGACTTACGAGACGTTCGAGTAGCTGCCCTCCGCAATATCGAGCCCGATACAGGTGCACAGATGAGCGTATCCGACCCAACCGAGCCGGAATGGCAGAAGACCAAGTTTGGCGAGAATTACAGTCGCCTTTTGCGCATCAGGAAGAAAGAAATATGATCCAAAGGGCGTCTTTTGGTGTAAGCAGTGTGTCGGAAGCGAGCTCTGGTCTGCTGAAGGAGAGTTTGGCAATGAGAATGGAGTGGTCAGAATACGGTGAGGTCATGTCGACAGCGCAAAGGTAGAGTGCCTTGTCTTGATGGACATGGTGATTCGGAACAGCAACCAGCGCTTCACGATCTCTCGTGAGGTGGACATGCGTATTCACCGCTCAACGCCCAGGTCGGCAGGATGCCCTCGAAGCATATGCTGCTCGCACAGTCTCCAAATATTCCTCTGCTCTACTTCTGCGGTGCCTACCACGTCGTGGCCATCTCCGCTTCAATCTCTTCTCCCAAATCCAATCATATCCGAGCTTTTTCGGCTTTGCGTTGCTGATGATGGTTCGTTTCGTTCTACGGCGGCAGTGGTGCGATGGCCCGGTGGTGGTGGCTGTCTCCACGTTCTGCCCGCGTGCCCATAGCATTGCACCGCGTCAGCAGCTCCTCCGCTGCCATCCACCACGTTTCCGTGAACGGTCAGGATGTGTTCACATGCACAAGTGAAGCATGTCGCAAGAGCACGTCGTTGCAGCCTCGTACGCTCGCGGCCAGCCCGCCCTCCATCCGACACCCCAGACTGCTCCCGATCGACAGGCACAGGTGGGTCTCACACATCACGCCTTCACGGCACACGCTCACCTGCGCAACCCCTCCGAGGTCTCCACAGCACGAACCACACTTTGAAGCAATGTCAAGTCAAGCAATATTATCATTACCTACTGCTTGGGCATGAGACGTGCACGCCAATACCATGAACTTCCGATCACGACACGCCCCATCGACTAGCAAAGTCACCTTGGCAATATGTGCTTTCTGGGCGATCTCGCTGCTGTGCTTTCGATGGGCCACGCGAGACATACAAGATGTCTCCTCCCTCGCAGCATGGGACGCCTGGAGTCTCCCGTCCGTCGCTATGGGTCTGTTTGGCTATGTGCGCTTTCTATCCGCTTTGATATTCGCCTTTCTTCCTAAACACACTGTCACCCTCAGCAATGCGAGCCTGCCCTCGTACCCACTCGCTGTTAAAAGCCCCTACCTGTCTGCTTGGCTGCCCAGTGATCAGATTTGGGACATCGCCAATGCACAGCCAGAATTCTGGACGGGCACATCCAACCTCAACTGGCCTGTTCTTGCGAGAGTCGATGGAACCACATACGCCTTACTGAATGCACCATCGGGCCTGACCAGCGACATTCTGCGTGCGACCACGAAAGGCGTGAGCTACACCTCTACCCATACGTACTTTGAGCTCCTTGCCGGAGACGTCACCTTTGTCCTGGACTTCTTCTCACCAGTCTACCCAGCTTCGGAAGACTATGCGCTTCAATCTCTGCCTTATTCCTATCTTACTGTCAATGCTACGAGCGATTACGGGAGCAAGAGCATACAAGTATTCAGTGCGATCGATCAAACCTGGACAGCACAGAATGGCGCTGCTGCTCTCAACTTTACTACCAGCAGCAACAACGCTGGCTTCTTCTGGTTCTACAATTCAGATGAGATTTCCTACACGGAAGTCAACGATATGGCGACATGGGGATCTATACTGTTCGGCGCTTCAACATCAAATGCTACAACTTTTGCTTGTGATTCGGCAGATAATGTTTGTTCGACCTTTGCGAACAATGGCGCTTTGGACTCGGCGGGTTCTTCAAGCTGCTCGGGTGATGACTTGGCCGGAGTGGCGACAGACTTGGGTGCTACAAGCAGCGCAACCTTTTTCATCGGCTTTCAGCGCGACCTTGCGATTCAATATCTGGGAGAGGCACAGACAGGCTTCCACAGGACACTATGGCCAACGATTCCAGAAGCAATTGATGCCTTCCTTTTGAATTATAATGCGGCGCAGCTGTACTCGCTAGCGCTAGACACGCTCATCCGCTCAAAAGCAGAGTCTGTCTCCAACGAATTTGGTGCGCAGTACGCCGACATTCTCGAAGCAAGCGTCCGTCAAGCTTTTGCGGCCTATGAGCTGACAGTCCCAATCGCCGACCAAAGTGCAGAACCTTCTCTGTTCCTCAAAGAGATATCTTCTGATGGCAATGTGAACACAGTCGATCTCATCTTTCAGTCATGGCCCATCTTTGTCAATCTAAATCCGGAATATATCAAGTTGGTCTTCAAGCCAATTCTGTCTTACCTTGCCTCCGGAAGATGGCCGCTGGAGTATGTCATACATGATATTGGAACGCACTATCCCAACGCCACTGGTCATGACGATGGCAATGAGGAGCATATGCCACTCTTCGAGACGTCGAGCCTGTTCATCTTACTTTATGCTTACCAGGAACTGTCCGGGAACACTTCTTTCACTAAGGAATACAGTGCGCTACTTCCAGGCTGGGCGGACTACCTCGTCGCGAATTCTCTCTACCCGCCAAGCCAGCTCATTAGTGTTGATGCTATTCCAGCGACTGCTAACCAAACAGGCCTGGCAATACAATCAGTGATCGGTCTGAAAGCTGCTGCAATTCTGACAGGCAATGACACATATGCCGACATAGCTGATGAGTACGCGAAGATCATCTACAACGAAGCTCTCGGTCTTAACAGTGCGAGCGTCAATACAAGCACACATTTCACCTACAATTATGGCGACACAGACACTTGGAATGTGCTGTTTCCAGCGTATTCCGATGTCTTCCTCAACCTAAGCACATTCCCGCAGGAGGCGTGGGATAAACAGTCCGCGTTCTACCTTACACAGATCCAGGAGTACGGTCTCGCTTTTGCCGGACCAGAAAGCGACCGGGGGATCAACTGGGCTCTGACCGATTGGAGTAAGCACCAAAACCCTTTCGCGTCATGTACGAGACACTGACGTCCAGCAAAGACATAATGTATGCTTCGATCGCCGGCACTGATCTCCAGCAAGCGATCATTAACACCACGCATGCCTTCTTAACAGACGGCCAGAACGATATCCCTTTTGGCACGAAGTACATTGTTTCTGGCGCCGAAGCTGGAAAGTGGATCGGGAACAGAGCTCGAGGTACGGTGGGAACACATTTCGCTTTTACGGCGCTGAAGCAGCGTCGCTGGACTCTGCCATGATGGTCTGAACGCTCGGCAGGGTATATATATAACACAAACCGACCTCGCGTACGAATTACCTATACCTTATTAAATAGAATGAATGCGGCTCTGTTCAGACGCGAACAGAGATTTGCAAAGTACGTTACACTCGCTCTCCTCGAAGTTTTCTTTGCTCTCGGTAGGCGGGCGTGCCGTGCAAATGTGAAATCTTCTTACCAGCTAGAGGTACGCGATGATATGATGGATCTAGTTGCGGACAGTAGTTCTACATGTAAACCTGCACGCATTCGTCAGGCAGGATTCCCGTCCTGTTTCGAGTAGTCGTTGTTTTCGTGACGTCGACGACGGTCGTGGTGTTTGCATGAAGGAAGGAAGGAAGGAAGGAAGGTGTGTTATTATGTTTTCTCGATGGTCGGAATGTGGCTTGGGAATCTTGGAAGGATTGGGAACGAGAGATGATGGGGAGAGGGAGATGGGAGGAGTACTAACAGATTCATGGTTTGATGGTGTGGGTCCGTGATCTACCTATTGATGTCCTGCAGTGCGCTTGATACATTGTACAGGCTTCCTTATTCTTCGATGTAATCACTCCTTCGGGTCCCATCACTACAGACCCCCCCCCCCCCCCCCCCAATTTCCCTTCTACAGCCTATTCTACCCCATCTCCCCGTCCCTCAAATCCTTCTTCCCCCATCATCAACCTCTTTCGTCTCGGAGGGTGGTGGAGGGGGTGGTGGACACCCGGAACCGTACCTATTCTGTGCCGCTGGATTTGTGCCTAGTTTTGGGATGTGCAGGTTTAGGCGTAGGTTTGGGGGGTGTTGAATTTTGTGGAGATGAGGAATTTTGGGAGGGTGTGTTTGGTGGGGGAGTTGGGGGAGCAGCTTAGGGGAGTGTAGTGAGGTGAGAGGGTTGAGGTGGAGGAGGTGGTTGGTGGGGAGGAGGAGGTTGAGGTGGTCTGGAAATCCGAGGCGGTGGAGGATGAAGATAGAGAGGATGACGATGATGTTGTGCTTGTGATGAGTGTGGTTGTTACGCTCTCTGCATCTGTCGTCAAGGATGAAGCCGAAGTGCTACTTGCCATTGACGTCGTCGAGGTAGACGTGGAAGCAGTCTCGATCAGTTTGGCACCATTGACACCACTACTGAATACTGTTTTACCAAGCGTCGACTTGAGATAGCAGACAGATGTGTATGAGACGTCAACACAGCCAGTGGTCTTTGCGCACGCATCGATGCACTGCTTCAGATTGCTGACAACGACGACCTTCATGTCTCCGGCTTCATGATCGATCCCACACTCAATGAGGAATGACAGGCCGTTGGAAACGTAGGTCGTGCTGTTTGCTGCCGGACAGTTGATTGCGGTAGGCGATGCAGAAGAAGACGGGCCTGTAGTGCTGGAAATGATAGTGGATGTGTCAGTGGAGGTGCCGGTGATCGAAATGGCGGATGTGGCTGAACCGCTCGTGGTACCAGTGCTTGTGCTTGACGAGCTCGAGCTGGGAGAAGACGAAACGATCAGTCTTGCTCCCGAGACCCCATTAGTGACAGGAGAACCCAGGCTCGACTTCAGATAGCAAGCTGCGCCAGACAGAGCGACGACGATACACTTGTCATTCTCCGCGCAGGCATCTATGCACTGCTTGAAAGAGTTGACACTCACCGAGGTCAGGTCTCCACCTGAGTAGTCTGTGTTGCACTCGATGACGAAGTCCTTGCCATTTGACGTGACGGTGGTGCTGTTCGAGGATGGACAGGAGACAGAATTCGAGGAGGGAGTTGATGCAGAACCAGATGCAGTCGACGATGCCGCAGTCGTCATAGAAGATGAGGAACTGCTCGAGCCTGCCGCCCAGTCTGGATTCTGGTAGACAGTCAGTCTATCGCCAGCTCCGCAGAATTCGTTGGTGGCGCCAGAGCACAGCATGTTGCAGTCGCTATCGCTGGTTCGATTCGCTCCAGCAGAAAAGCTGTTGCCGCAGTAGCATTCACTGCCATACTCAGTGCCGAAGTATTGGTAAGATGAGCAGAAGTTCGCACAGGTCTCGAGCGTCATGGAGTTACTCGACGTGCCTTTTCCGGCGAGAGCGCGAGCACCATTACTCGGCTCTGTGTAGCAAGAGACATAATAGAAGTCGCCTACAGTCTCCGGCGTACCGGGGGCTTCCTGAAGCACAGGACGGCCATTGGAGAAAAGTGAGAGGCGGCCACTCCCACCGCAGGTCTCGGTAGAGTTGCCTGGGCAAGTGAACGAGCAAGAGCTCTCAATGACTTGAGTCGCAAGATAGCCAAGCGACTTGCCGCAGAAACACTGAGTGCCGTACTCGAGACCGGCGATGGTGTTGCCGCCATCGGCACAAGTCTTCGTGCACTTCTCAATGGTGTTGTCGTTGCTGGTGTATGCCATGTTTGGAAGTGTCTTTGGGCTCTGATCGGACCAGCAGCCCCAGTAAGTCATATTCCCAGCATATGTATTGTTGTTCGTTGCAGCAGTAGTTCCATTTAGTTGTGGATTGGGATATGGGTCATCCCCGGCCTGTTGTCGCGGGTATCCGAAGTCGTATGATCGGTTGCCATTGCCGTAGAAGTTGTCAGTGAACAGACGAGCTTGACCGGCCGCAGATGCCATCATGCCTCCTCCATCGTGACCCATGTTGACAAAGTCTACAGTGTCGCAGTTGCGGCCTCTAGGATCAGCGCACGAGGGTGGGAACGCCTTGATGAAGTTGAAGAAGCGCTCGTTGCGATTCGAGCCCGTGGTTCGTGGCGCACAGCTGGAAGAGTCATCTCCGAGATCTTGAGTGCCACGAGCATAGTTGATGGCCTTGCTTTGGAAGTTCGCTTGGATTGCACTCCGGCCCTGCGCAACCAGGCTCACACCGTAAGTCATGGGATAGTCCACGAAGTCGCTATAGCCCTCTCTGTAGTCATCGTAGCTTGGGCAAGAAGCAGTGGAGAGAGGACGATCCGCACTCAGCCAGACGTAGCTATTGGGGTTGCCGATCCAATCTAATCGATTGAATAGTCAGTCTTTGCAAAGTGATTCGATTGTGATGCGCCACTGACAGCTGACAGGTGTTTGTGTGTTGAGCGGAGTGCCAAGAGCGGCATATCGCTGCACCTGTATTTCAGATGTCGATCAGTACCTATCGAACAAATTGAAGAATAGAACGTACTGTTTGGGCGCCCAGCGAGTGACCAGCAATCACAATCTGGTTCATCTTTGGAAAATTTGCCTTATTGTCAAAGTACTGAACAATCTGGTCAAGCACAGTGTACGAGCTGGTGTTGGTAGACGTGTATGGATATTGATTGTTGCCGCCAGCTGACCACTGAGAAGATTTCCAGACCAGAGCATTGCTGGTGGAGCCTCTCGCTGGCTTCAATCCATCAGTCCATGGGTAGCCCTTGTTCTTATCGTCGCCGTTTGGGAAGTATGGAGCCATGATTGCAACTGTGTCAAAGTTGATGTTCGGGTCCGACTTGACTTGGGAGAGTGCCGAGAGCATGTTAGACATGTAGGTGCCCGGATCGCGATTGAGGCCATGAATGATGACCACAGCACGTTGAACGTTTGCCTCAACGAGACGCTTGTTGCTCTTCCCATGAGAGTAGTAATTGATGAGAGTGAGCTTGTTGTTTTTGCCCGAGGGATCGTTGATGCGGAAGTAGGCAATCTCTGAACCAGGAACACCAGGCAGGGTGGTATTGATGACATCTCCGGCGTATTGCTGTGCAAAGGCAAGCTGTGAGAAGGTGGCAGCAAGAGCTGCAAGAGCTGTAGTGAACCGCATCTGGTCCTACTTGCTTGTGGGAGATGTACAATGAAATTTGGAATGAATGTACGAAGCGAGTGTAGTGAAAGATAGTAAGAGTCAAGCTGGTTACCAGTAGCAGGACACACAGACGAGCGCTTGAGAGATGTCTTGTAAGATTGCTGCCAGGTGTTTGCTCGAACTTATGTTCTGCGAGGGCGTCGATGATGACAATCCCCTCCATCCTGTCGACGAATCTCTCATATGACGGCGTTCCAGTTCTCACGCCTCTGAACGCCAAGTTGACCATGGCTGTAAAAGTACAGCTTCTGCACTAAGCCGAGACCAGCTCGATTCAATTACACCGAAGCGGTCTCGAATGGCTTGAATTCTCAGCTGGAGTGTAGCTGGAAGGCGTCCATCTTTTTCCATTTCAGGATCTCTCGGAGACCTCGACCTCTTCATGCAGCGACTGGGCTGGTGCCAAGAATAGATGCTGTAGGTATCCGACGCAAATACCCGTCTCTCCAATCACTAACGGACCTAGAGAGCGATCGAGCCATGTTCTGGTCCAGATGAAGGCAGTGGTTCTGCGCTGCCTCTAGCATGTATTTCTCGAGACCGTGTAAGCCACGAACCTTGACCGACGGTCTCCTGTCCCAGATACCCGGTCGCTGGTAGCCAGGTGCCGACTGCTGAAGCTGCTCTCACAGGGCATTTCCACTGCTCCTTTTGTACTCACGTCGGCCTGCTAAGAGACTCCATGTACGTCCGCGTCGACATCTGATGGTGTTTGATATGATATCGCAGACCAAAGACCGTAGCGTCGAGCGACTCGTGCTTCCGAATAGGTAAGGAGCGTGTGGGATAATAGCAATCTGCTTCAGGCCAGTCGCGAGAATAGCACTGTCTGAGATACAAGTCGCCGGTCGTTTGTGAAGTCCATACTCGAGGGCTTGTCAGGCCTTTCTGATACTACACTAAAACTCTAGTCTCGAAATGCGGTGGAGGCCAAAAGCGCAGGATCGGGATACTTCGCCAACTTCGTTTCCTTGTTTCCAGATGGAGCGGCCACGCTCCAGGGACGCACGCAGGAAAGGTTATACCGGATCGGTCGCGTATCCTGCGAGTACCCGTGAGCGCCTCACTCGATCGAGATCCTTGCAGCACCGAAGCGTGAGGCGAGACATCAAGAGTAAGACGTGCAAAATCTGATGGCATCGTATCCGCAATGCCGTTCGTGAGATGAGGCCTCGTCATCATCGGACGAGTCTTCATGATTAGGCCCTAACCGGTTGCCAGCGATTATAGCATAATCTCATAGATTATAGCCTGTAGATTATAACAATCCACGAAAGCTGTTGTTGTCCGGTTGTAATCGATTATCCTCTTTCAGATTACTCGCTGTCCTCGTAATCTCGCTGTATTATTGCTATATACAGTATAATCGGCAAAACTAGGTCTAGAGGTGGTTTTGCAGCTATCCGTGCGCTAGATTAGACTTCTGCTTAGCGCACTAGTATCTACCTCTTTGTAACCGTAGAATTTAGTAGTATAGCGATTTTAGAGGTATAGGAGATATAGCGACGACGATAGACGAGTAGACGACCGTATTACTAGCGCTAACCGCTCTTAGCGCAATAGCACCGCTATTCTTCCTTTAGGAAGTACTACGATTCCGTAGGTAGCGCGCCTATCGACCGAGCGGCCGACTAAGCTAAGAGGCGGAAGGAAGCGGAGGTTAATAAAGTAGATACTAGACATCTGTTTCTAACCGCTTATAAGCGATTATAGCGGTCTATAATCCGAGGAGATTATAAGACTTTAATAATCTATAAGATTATACTATAATCGCTAGCAACCGGTTAGGGCCTTACTACGCCCGGAATCGTCGTAGTAATTAAGTTAGGTAGCATAGTTCTATAAGACAAGGTATATAGGTATAAGGGTTGTTACCCGGCTCGTCCTAGTTGTTTAATAGGTAAATCGACGCCCGATATCCCCTCTGCGGCATTTTAATACTAGTTTAGGCAGCGCTACTATCTATAGCGAATCTTAGATAACGTCCTAATATGTTCGCCGTCGTCGCCGCGTTCGTATTACTTTGTAATCGTTGCGAGAAATGTGTAACAGACGATTAGGAACTAGTTACATCCTAGTATAGACAATATAGGAATAGAGGTCTAAAGCTAATTAAGCCTTCGAATAGAAGTCTTCTAGGATTGACGTACGGTTAGCCTTAGCGCACGGTATTTCGCACTTCCGTAGGCTCCCTTTGCAAGTGAATAACTCTATAACTATAGACCCGATTAAGAAGGCGATTAATAATCTAAATAGCTAGGAGAGGCCTAATATTAATGCGACTACTAGGACCTATAAAGTTAATCGTTTAACGCTTTCTCAGCGTTAGAGAGGTATCTAAGGAAGCAAATAGGCCTAGTACGAAGACAAGCGATTACTAAATAATCTAGAAGAGGCAGAGTTAGTTAGATATATCAATAAGTTAACTAATCTAGGCCTACTATTAACGGCTTAAATAGTACGCAATTTTGCTAAGTAGGTATATAGCAAGGAGCCTAATAAGAACTAGCCTACTAAGTTTACTAAGAGGCATTTAGATATCCTGTCTTCTAAGTACCTTAGCAATCTAGATAAGGTATAGAAGAAGGCTAATTTATAGTCCTTATATACTAAGTACTTTAACAAGTTACAAGCTAAGATAAAGAAGTACAGTATAGAGCCTAAGAATGTATATAATATAGATAAGAAGGGCTTTATAATAGGGGTACTTAGCAAAGCTAGAAGAATCTTTATAAAGCAGGCAATAATAAGTAGCTAGTTAAAGGGGTATATATAGGATAGCAACTGCGAGTAGATAACGGTTGTTAGCTATATCTATACTAATAGTATAGCACTGCTACCTGCCTTAATCTATAAGGCTTAACCTAGCTAGTTTCAAGATACTTAGGTAGAAGATATAGACCTATAATAGCATTCGGCCTTCTTTACTAAGTTACCCTCTAGCTAGATAAACGATAAACTTAGCTTCGTATAGTTAACTTAAGTATTCGATCGCTATACTAAGTAGAAGGCTCGCAATAGTAGATCCTAGCGCCTACTAATACTAGATAGATACGGCTCTTATTTAAATATAAAGTTCCTTAACTAGGCTCTAGAAAGACAGATCTTAGTAGGTATATATCTACCTTATTCGATATATAGATTGTAGCCTCTAGATATGTCTTTATTCGCACCTCTTATAAGCTATTACTTAACGGCTTTGAACTAGTTTATCTATAGATCTATAGGTATCTAGGGTATAACAAAGCGGGTGTTCTTTAGCTTATTCTAGCAGGCCTAGACTAAGGCAATAGTAAAGAAGAATATAGACAGTAGCTTCTAGAAGACAGGTATCTATCTATTTGATCTATAGGCAGTGCCGTAGTGCTATCTAAGCTAAAGAAGCTAGAGGGCATAGAAGAGCTAAGTTCTAGTAAGCAGTCTAGCAGACCCTCTTTAAAGGCTTTAACTAAGTCTAATATTAAGAGAGCTAACTAGAAGAAGATTAAGGCTATTGTTAAGACTGCAGTAGATGCTAAGAACTCAAAGAAAGTACTAAACCTAAGGGATTAGGTTAGCAGCTTATAGGCTTAGAATGCCTAGCTCTTAACTTAAGTAAGTAGACTTATAGCTACTCTTAGTAATAAGAAGAAGCGTAGAAAGCGAGGTAATAAGCTATTTAAAGAGATAAGGGCAGAAGACGGCTCTACTGCTATATTCTACTTACCTACTAAGATTTAGTAGGTAAGAGATATATTTGCTAGGAAGGAGAGAGAGAAATAAGAAGAGGCTGCTTAGAAGGAGGCTTAGAAGGTCTAGTAGTAGCTAAATAAGCAATATGCTATATAGGTAAAGGAGTTAAAGATATAGTAGAGATAGGCTACTACTAAAGCAAAGAAGGAGAAATTAGCTAAATAGGCCCTTAAGAAGGAAGCAAGGAAACAGATAGTTACGGCTTCTAGACAACTAAATAACAACCTTTAGAAGAGTATAAAGAAGGCTAAGAACCCTCTTAGGCGTATTGTATTTAAACAGCCGTAGGAAGAAGATATTATACACTCTCTAAGTAAGAAAGCCGGAAATCGGGCTTTATAGGCAAAGCGACGTATACTAATTGTAATATTGCCTATAACGGTCTAGGAGGTTTCCTAATCGAAAGCGTATATTCGAAATGTAAATAGACGAAAGCATTAATAGTATAGACGTTATATTGATGGAATACGACCGTAAAGAAGATGTATAAGCTAAACCGTAGAAAGCGTACGCTAAGCCTAACCGTGCGCTATAGCTAGAAGACTTCTAGCAAAAGGAGGCTTGCCGAGGCGGCTTTTTATAGGACACTTTTCGGCCCCTTTCAACGATATTATTAATTTATCATCATCGTCGTCGTCGTAACTCGTAATAAGCGAGAAATCAGAAATGGGAGCTGGCGGCTGCTGGCGGGCCGGCAGCAAAAACCAGGCATGGGAGTGAGGCGGGCCTTGCTGCCCTGTGTTTCGTCCTCCTTTCTTCACAGACGCTTCCGACTCGACGCCCAACGTGGGATGAATAATAATTGCACACCATTGACCATCGGCAGAAATGAAGAATGTTTCGCATCGAGACGTGCCAATGGGCTCCGGTGCCTGCGCAAGCCCGCCCACACCACTGGAATGCGCTGCACATGTTCGCAGGAATCCTTCCAGAATACCCCGAAGCCTAATAGTGGTTAATGCCTGGCCTGTTCCGTTCCACGCATTGTTTCGTGAGTCACTACTGGAGCGAAACACGTTTCGTGCCTAGCATCTCCTGGCAATGCTGCCTAAGGTGGTCTGTTCTCATGGCTGAGCGCTCACAAGAGGCCGCCCTGTGTGGCTATACTACTCCGCCCTGCCTGGAGGCCGCAATACAAGTGTACAATATATAAGTCTTTGACTTCTGTCCTACGTCTCCATTGACTCCTGCCAAACACCGAGAAAACAACCACGCAAGCATCGCCTGAACTCTTTCATCCAAACCACTGCCACTGCAAGCAAGCCATCTTCACTCCGACTACTACACGTCTCACACTATCCGAGACCTCATCGCTACTTCATCGAGTTGGCGGAACAATCTCAGAACATCAAACGAGAATCGAGATTGGCGGTCCAGAAGCCACCTGTCACCAAAGACCAGCAATCAGACCAACTCACTATGGCCAAAGTCCACCAGCACATCAAGGTCCGCAGAGACACGATGTTTGACGACGATCGACCATCATCAGCCTACTCCACTCTTGGCTCGTCGGCATCAAGCAGAGACTTCAGCCCAAAGCAGCGTCCCGCAGTCATCGTCCACAAACCAAGCGGCATAAATCCCGACGACGACCCTCGAAGCACTGATATCATGAACGAGAAGATTCGGAGGTAGTCTAGACGGACACCACGTCTAAATTTCTCCGGATGTACGGTACGACAACAACGAAGGAACGATATGGGTTTGGATGAATTCGGTGTTGGGATTATAGAAATACTAGACTGTTCGGACTGGAACGGACACTGGAGCACGCGAGGACTAGCTGCTAAGCATTGGAGAAAGGCGTTTTGAGATAAAAGATATACCTTTACAGGTTTTTATCAATCTGCTTTGCATAGAAGGAAGCAAGCAAGCATGCAAGATTAAGAGAAGATACCCCCCTTTATGAAGAAGAAGGAAGAGAACCCAACAAAAAAACAAGACTTTTAGTCTCTCAAAAAAGATATGTCCGAAGAGATAGATGCCTCGTTCCCCATATCTCCACACACTTTTCCCTATCTCGCCTCATTCATTCATAATAATCGAGTGAAGTTCAGATCTTCACTGCAGCCTGCAGGTGCCCCACTTTCGCAGCGAGTCGGTGCAGATTCGGCTTGCCAACACAACGCTTTCGTGCATGCATGAACTGGGTCTTGAATGGATCGAAAACTTTTGGTTGTCGTTGCGGTTGGATGGAATGCAGAAACGTATTTCCTAATCTAGTTGCAGCCTACGGAGTTCGGGGGAAATAATGAGAGGCCGCATGCAGAGAAGGGGATCGATTGCCCACTTACTTACCCACGAGTTGTTGGGGATGTCGTTGACGAGTGATCCCATCGTATATGTATGCGTTTTCCGGAGACGATTGCAAGTTTCGGGGTTTGGTAGATGATTGTAGCGGGGGGCAATGGTGCAGGGTCGCGATAGGGCAAGTGGGTGTGTTAGCATGATGGTTATCCTGCCGCGTCGTTTTCCTGAGAATTTTCGTGCTCGTTGGAGCCCCGTCGAGCTTATCAATTGCAGCGATACGCTTTCCGTTCGCTTCATATCGTCCATCGGTGCCTTGTTCTTCAATCATTGTCCGAACGTCCGTCGAAGCATCAACTGCGATGGCGTTCTGAAGCAATAATCTGGTTGATGTTGGTATTATTAAGTTTGCATCATTACAGAGATGGTATCATTATTCCAAAAGCTCTTGTGGCCGTTATCCTACTCCGTGCAAGCGGCCCTGTCGTACTCATGGGGTATCATAACGTCGGTATTTACAATCATGCTTTTTACACCTGCTGGGCAGCGCGAGCCTCGTCGTTGTTGACCTTGCCACGCTTCTCGCGTCCCTTGTCGGACCATGGGAAGTGGGCGACTGGAACGACGAAGAACGAGTTGCTGGAATCGGCCATGCCCGCGAGCGCGTTGTACCTGGGTAATTGGTCAGTAAAATGCACAAAACCAAGGATCAATTGCCAAGACATACCAGGCTGCGAAAGCGGCGATGATACCAAAAGCTCCGCCAGCGCGAATGCAACTGGTGTTTGGTTTGCCACCGTCGTTCACGAGATAGCCAATTCCGAGCATGAGGAAAGCCAGGTCCAGGGTGAGGAACAGGAAGAAAAAGGCGACGGTCGATCGGAGAGTCAGGATCAGGAGAAGGAAGGTGAAGATGAACCATCCCTGAAATTTGGTCAGTCTGGTTATTTTCGATTGATCGATTCACAACGACTTACCATCAAGTACAATCCGAAAGAGTTCAAGAATGGATACGGAGTGTCGGCCTCAAGTGTCTTGATGATCTCGAAACCGCCTGGAGTCAAGATGATGGCTGTGCCAATCCAGAAACCACCGTATGAAGACAAGGCAGTCGCACCGAAAGTGTTTCCAATGGCCATTTCCCTGGACATTGCGTTAGCTTTTGCGTCTTTTCGACCGTGGGCTCGATTGTCCAACGTGCCACATGCCAGCGAGAAGCTGGACAAGTCCACCGTACGCGAAAGCAGCACCAATCACGAGGTTTGGCTCGCTGAGACCACAGGTTCCCAGGTTGATCAGAGAGAGCAGGAAAGTGGTGAGAGCAAAACCACAGAGTCCAAGAGGAGCTGGGTTGGCGATCTTGCGGTTCGTGTCGACTTTGTAGAGACCTGGCTGGAGCTCACCCCCGAAGGCAGCAAGACGAGCAGAGTCGCCAGTGTTGACATGCGCGAGTGGGTTGCCACCATAGTCATATGGCTTTCGTTGCGTGGCTACACCACCGGCATGGTCATGAGCACCGACGCCATTGAAGTCGCCAGGCTGCACGCCGTTGGTGGGCTTCTCGTCGTTCTGTCCTTGAGCGCTCGACATGGTGACTGTCGTGTGGATTGGCCAACTGAGAAGATGCGGAGACAGCCTTTATGGATCTCGTCTTGCCCTGGTCAACAGAGGTAGGTAGAGTGTAGGTTTAGTAGGGAACAGGGTAGTACGAAGGAAGAATCATTGATGAGTGACAGACGCAGATGACCTCTATATACACAGGCTAATCATAAGCGGTCATCGCGACAGGAAGACACGGCTCCGGCGATATGATAGCTCCATCTCATCATTACCAAAAATGATATTGTGGGGAGCTAGCTGGCGACGATGTGAAGGACCAATCCGAATGCAGGAGTGCTGGAGTCGGCACAATTGAGAGTGCATGCGCGAGTGTCGATCCTTGCGGTAAGCCTAGCGAGCGTTGGACAGTGGAAGTTCACAGAACGCCCTGAGCACCGCTCGTACAATGCTTCTTGCTGCGCCGAATGGCACACCGTCCGTCAGGTACGCAGTCGGTGGTTGTGCGCAGCAAACATGCGATACTTGAGCCCGCCAGCGACCTTTGTTCACCCAAGGCTCGACTCCGGACCCTGGAAATCGCCGTTGAGACGATGCGAGCAGAAGTGCATGTGCTCTCCGCAAAACTTCGCCCAAGCATTCACACAGCGCGCACAGACCACTCCAGCCCCACAAAAGAGATCCCCTCATTCACATCTCACGCTTCCAGTGGCCGCGACAAGAACACTGACGTACCACCCAAGCGTCTTCGCCTGCCGCTAAGCTCTTGTCCGGCTCAAACTCTCTTCTATACGACTGGCGCCTCTCCACTGGCGTCGACCATCCATCCGTCCAGAAACACCCAGCGCAGACCACACTGATGATGTCACACACACATGGCAGTCGATGTACAGTACAACCATGTCACGGAGGATCAATAGCCGTGGTCGCAGCGCCGAATTCGTGACAGTTGGCTGACTCTGACCGGTCTGTCGTCCAACATTCTTGCTGCGATCGCAAAGAACCTTTTCCTCATTTGTCACTCTGTAATACATCTCTGACTAACTACGGGAGGATGCCACGCAAGGCACGCCACGCCGACGGCAAGGAGAGTTCGGCCTTGATGCTTCTCGCAGCGACAAGACGAGGTTTTTATTATTATTGGTCACCCTACGACGGAGGAGCGGAAAGCCTCGTCCAATGATCCCAGCGTCTGCGCGCTGCAAGAAGCTCCAGTCTGCCCAGAAGTTCTCCGCAAAGAATCTCATGATTGTCAAGGATTTTAGCGTACCACTGTTTCGAACAGTGGTTTACTTCCGGAGGGCGTCGGCGCCTGATTTATTAGTATTTGTATAGCTTTTGACGGTGCTTATCCCCTTCTAGTACCGTAATAACCTTCTTAGTTATACTATTAGTTCTAACCTTATCTCCGCGGCTCTTATAAGTGTATTATAGGCATATAAACTAGGCTCTTTGCTATAGCTTATTCTTATCGCTATAGTCGTTATTATTAATAATAATGCCTCCTATTCTATCTAAACTAGTACTAGACTTTAAGCTAGACTATATACTATATAATATTATCGATATTCGAGAGTAGCTATTTAACGTACTAGAGTATAGATTAACGTACGACCTAGAGCGGTTTAAGGTATTAAAGCATTATATAAGCAACGTATATAAGGAGATTCGTAGTAATAGGTATAAGGACGGTCTTAAGTAGCGAATATACTAGTATTATCGTTATCGGCGAGATTAGTAGCGTAACTAAGTGCTACTAGCTAGTATTCGGAAAGTTAAATATAATAAAAAGCCGTATAACGCTATAGTAGTTATTATATATCGCTTTCGTAAGAGAGCTTCTATACTATACGAAGTTAGCGTTCGTCGTTACTAAGATAATCCTTCTATAGTAGACAGGGAGATATATTGCTACGACCTAAGGTATATAGATATCCGCTTAGCAAACAACGCCCTAAAGGTATTTATTAAGGAGTTAATAAACGTCTAGAATATAGAGGTTACTACGGTACTAGATTTTATTAAGAATAGACTATTAAAGGATAAATTTAGCAAGATTAGTGCTTAATAGGTTAAAGCTAGAATAGTCGCTTAGTCTAAGATTAAACCTAATATAAGGAAGGCCGATAAGAGTAACAAGGGCAATATTAACCTCTAAGTCGATAACCTCGAGTTAAGCCTAGCTAAGCTTTTAAAGGACCTCTAGAATAAAGTTAATAGTAAACAGCTACGTTATTAGGTAGTACGGAAGCGTCTAAAGGGTAAAGAAGAGCGCGGTATTGTCTTTTAGACTATATAGCAGTAGAAGTTATTAGATAGTTAGGCTAACGATATAAGTAGAGTTGTTATTATTGCCGTTATTGCCTATCGTAGAAAGCGATATTGCGGAAGCAGTCGCGAGCGACTAACTAATAAGCTCTTAGTATTTACGAGCTTGCGCTACGTCGTTCGGAGGGCTAACTTTAAAAATTCAAAACACTACTAACTAATATGCTATATAGTTGTTTTTGCTAGACGCAACTTATAAGACTACGGACCTTAGATAGAACCTTTTTACTATATATGTTCGCGATATATTAGGTTGCTAGCTACCTATAGGATATTTATTGCTCGAATCGTAGAAAGCTAAGTTAGTAGAATCCGGACTTCAAGTAATTAAGACTTAGTTACTATAACAGATACCTATTGCTATAATTACTAATAATTTAGCTTCCGAGCAGATAGCAATTAACCTATCGTTTAGAGACAAACCTGTTTAGCTCTACCTATACTAGCGCTACGCTAAAGAGACCTTCCTTCGAGCGTTCCTAGAAGCCTAATATCTAGAGATTGTAAAGCGCTTTTACTACTCGATCTACTACGCCCGCAATATCGCAGAAATCGCCGAAAACAATAGGTAGATACAGGATTAGCTAAGAGAATATAAACTAGTAGAATAGGAAAAGAAAATTAAGTATATACGGCATAATTAGAATAGTATAAATTCGAGGAGATAGGCAACCTAGGCGCGGCTTTGTAGTCTATTGTTGCTATAAATAAGGACAACGTCGCCTCTCGAAGGCTATTATTATACTATTAAGTATAACCGCAATAAGCGCAACCTCGTATTCTATAACCTATATAGTACTATCTTAGAAGTTCTTTAGGTAGACGATAGACAGCTTTATAAGGTATAACTAGCAAGCTATAGGATCGGCAAGCGTGTGTAATATTAGTAGACAAAGCGATTAGTAGGCTTCGAGTCTCTATAGCTACTAGCGGCCTAAGATCTACTACGGAAACAGGTCGATATTGCTATAGAAATAGAGGCTAAGGCGGCGCTAGTATATAAGGGCACACTATGTAGCTATAATAGAGCAACTCCGGCTCGTTATAACTGCCTCTCTTAGTTCTAATTAAGGCTTCCGTACTACTATATTCTACGAGACTACTTATTCTATAATAGACTAGAAATTACTAAATTCTAGTAAAGGCGATATCTCTAGCTATTTATAGGCCTTAAAGTTATATCCGCTAACAAATACTAGTAACGACTAGACACTTAACAACTCGTAATCGAGGGTTACGAAGAAGACAGTATTGCGCTAGTAAGCGCACCTAAGTTACGAGACCTATAAGGCTACTTTAAAGAGGCCGTAGAAACACTAAATTTAAAGTACTAGCGTATAGCGGACGACCCTGCTATTTATAGTAATATAAAGGACGCATTCTACGCCTTCTACGTATAGAAGGTTAAGGACTTCTCGGACAGTTGCTATATACTAAATATTAACTATTTTATCGCTAACCTATAAGAGGTCTATTTTATAGATAAGACCGAGCGATAGTAGACAACTTAACTACCTTCTAAACTAGCGATACCTACTCGCGCTTAATTGCGACCGACAACGCCGGAGATATACTACCTCGTCTATTCTAATATAATACTACGACCGTTACTATTAAAACAGCGTATTTAGTTGTTACCTATTCGCTAACCTATATTCTTATTACCTCCGCTAGGTAACCTTACTCTAAGGCTATTTCCGCGCCTTCTACCGCCCTCCTTTAATATACCGCGCCGCGAGATAATACTAGATATATAGTCCTTATAACCGCTCGATTTAGACGACGTTAAAGAGGTAGATTTAATAGGAGATAATATACTACTAGTACGAGGTCTACCTACGCCGCTAGGCACTTACTATTTAACTAGCTAATAGAATTAGGATAAGCTATTATAGGTCTTTATATACGGTATTCGCGAGATTAACGGCATTGCTATAGACGACCGTTACTTTGCCGATTCCGGCCTCTCGTTCTTCGAGGAGCTTCTCGTCTTCTATAACGTAGACTAGTATACTATAGACACGATTATAAGCTATATACGAGATAAGGATTATAAACGAGCGGCTAGGCGACTAACTAGTTAGATAATAGACGACTCGGAAGACAAAGCCGCTAATAACCTACCTAGTAACGAGCGAGTTAGACGAGAGATAAGAGATATAAGAATATATAGTAACCGCTAGTTAACCGCTAGTAAGCCTAGTAAGTTAATAGCTCGTAGACAACGTACTAAGTAATAACGAGGTCGAAGAGATAGCAATTAGCGTAGCTAGGCTTTCTAATATAGTCGTAGAAGGTAGTAATTATATAGTAATAACTCTTAGTATCTATAATAGTCTCTTCTACTACAAAATTGCTGCTTCTATAATAGTCTCTTCTACTATAAAATTGCTACTTCTATTAAATAGCCGCTTTACCGATAGGCTCGAGAGAGGCGCCCTTCTTAACCTAATTCGTTACTACGCCGAGCGGTTCTAAACGCTACTAGACTAGAGGATTGCGGGTGGCTTATTGCCTAGTAATTACTAGTAAAACGCTGTGCTTATAACTCTATTTAGGTTTGACTAAAACTCCTAATATATACGACAAATCCTCTATAACTAACGGTAGGACAACGGAGACGTAGAGTCTTACGAGCCGACGCTTACTACACCTCGCTTCCCTTTTGTCTTGCACACGACTAGCGATCGCAGAGATCTAGTTACGATAAGAATCAAATGCGGCTCTTGCTGTACAATATGCAAGCCACGATCAAACCTTGCGCAAGCAGAGTTGCCGGCGTGCCGAGGCGACATTGGACATTGATTATTAATCTCCAGCTCCGATGATTTGGAGGTTTAGCCTGGAATTTATCCATCCATCTCACAGACCGAGACTCCGGTTCCAACAGGTGCCTCAGGTGCTTCATTAGAGCACCCCCATACCCATTGCATTTTATGCACCAACGACTAGGGTCTGGCCTCGCTTAGAATTGAAGTCGCAGCTTGACAGAAACAAGCACCGCAAGCGTTGCTATGGCTTGACTCTTATCATGGACTAATGAACGCAGATGCTGGTGAGGATCCTCCGTCTCACAGAAGTTTGGTATTGATTGTGGCTTTCTACAGCGCAAAAGTCCACAAAAAATCTCTGGTGAGCATTGCCATCATCAAAGCGCAGGAAGTTTGGTATAACTTCGGTTCAATCGGTGGCTGCAACAAAGTGTGCCAGGTTGCGATTCCATGAAAACGGAAAAGCCGGCCCAGTCGTGCAGCCATGTCTGCTCATCAATAGCCTCAATTGGCGGTTATGCCTCCGTCTGCAGTTACCGTGGCTGAAAGGAGAGACTGCATTAGCAACACCATCAGTGCTTTTTCGAGACGCGGAAGATTTACCTCCGTTGATCATCTCAGCATCTTCCGAACAGAGGTATGCAACAAGAGTAGCCTGATTGATGAACAGCAAGGTCAGCTCGTGTTCATATTGTTTCAGAAGTGTGATGATGACACTCGGGGATAATTGTCTTTCATTTTCAGCACTTACCATCTTGTTCAGGTCTGCATAGCCACCTTTCCATTCACCGACTGAATCACAAGTCAGCAACCACTCAAATCGTTAACGAGATACCTGCTTGTGACTTACACGTTTGCTGCATCAAACCCATGCCTTCCATATTGAAAGAACCATCCGCGAGGCTGTTTCCAATATTTGTTTGCATAGCCCCTGCCGCGATCGCATTGCATCTAGAGCCACATCAGTCCCAGTCGAAGCTAGTAAGATCAGGCGGCCGAACCGAATGCCTTTGAGACGATAGAACACCGCAGTATTCTTAGTCAAACCGATCAATCCGGCTTTCGAAGCAGTATACGCAGCGCCTAGAACAAGCAATAAGTAAGTTCCAATGTTTTTTTTCTCGAAAAATCCCCGACGTCTCTGATTTTACTTTACCATTTGCAAACCCTCTGAAAGAGGCCACGGAAGCTATGTTCACTATCGACCCTTTGACCTGCGCTTTCAGCATGGAATTTACTCCACGCTTGGTGATGGACATTGGGGCGGTCAAGTTGATTGCGATACAACGATCCCAGGTTGCTCTATCCATGGTGCCGGCTGGATCGAACTACGCAGGAATGGTCAGCAGGATGTGACTTGATGCAAGATGATCAGGATTTCCCTGCCCTATCGATGACTCCGGCGCTGTTGACAATGTAGTCTGGATATCATGGTCAGCAAGGACTTTCAACATCGAGCACTCGGTCCGGCATTCCGCCTTCCAGCAGGCTGCAATATGGCGGGCAGAGTTGACGTGCCCACCGACGTATCGGTGCTCTTGCAGGTGTGGCAAAAGCAAAGAAAAATATGTTGCTCCCTTCACGCATGCACTCACCAAAATGCCCAAACCTCTTCTCCGCCTGCTCAAAGAGATCATCAAGAGCAGTCTCCGACGTGATGTCCGTTTCCAGCGAGAGCACACGCTCCGAGTTGCCAGACTCCACCTTTGCCTTCCAATCCGCGAGGAGTTCTTTGTTGATGTCGCACACCACGACATTGGCTCCCAAATCCACGAATTTCTCGGCAATGACACGCCCAAGACCGCCACCCGCTCCTGTCACCAGGACGGTTTTGCCTTGATGATTGGACATTTTTCGATCGTTGATATGATCAGGAACTTGGCTTGAGAAGGTCCTGTTGACTGAATGATTTTTTTTTGAAGGCGCTCGAGAGTTGTTGCGAGTTACGATAGAACTACTGTTTGGATTTGAGCTTTCTCGTTGGAAAATAGCTCGAATCGGCGCGCAAGTCTTCGTCGTGAAAGCGCTTCGGATATGATCTTCTCGCCAGCCAGCTGAGACGGAGCGTAAAACCTTGGGGGATGCACGTCTGCCCCACGAGGATTGTTTTTGACTGTTGTTTCAGGACTTCGTCAAGCCACCGGAAAGTCGAGATCGTGCCAGGCCTTCTCAATAAGACGTGCAGTCTGATGAAAGACGCGGTGGTTTGATGCTTCGTAAACTATACGAGGCCTCGAAATGACACATGCCACTGTACGCGGATACCCACTTATCTATCCGTAAGTGGGTGGTCAGCCGAAGAGAATGCTCGGTGGTTCTACAAGTTTGTCTTGTCAATGTGCCAGATGAAGGATATATGGAGGAAGTGCAGCACTATCATGATATATCTTGAACATCCATCGTCTCAGCAACCACACTTCTTACGACAATGTGTAAGTATACGGTTGCTCGGACATACTCGCTTGCGAGACGAGCTCGATTTGGTGGGGAGATTGTAGCTCGCTACCAGCATCCAGCACCAACTCTTGAGCTCCAGGCTCGTCTATATCGCTTACGAGAGACAAGGAGTGTCTCGATCAAGGCATTGGTCGTGTCATTCGTTCCTGCATGAAATCACTCTTGTAAAGCGGGCAGCTCCTCTTCAGCAGTTTCCCGAACGATCTAATCAATGTCATGCTTGCACAAGATGCTTTATCGAAGGGTGAAGAAGAAGAGGTCTTTCACAACATTTGTCGTTTGTCATGGTAGCTTAATACACGCAGAGTCAAGGAGGTGGTTATGGAATCCCGACGCAGTGGTCCTGCTGCTATTGCCTAGCCACTCTCGGACTCCTCAACTCAATGATTGGCAGAGCTACAGCTGCGGCAAGCACATCGAAGGATTGAAGGTAGTACCAGCCCACGGAGGTGTCGTCTTGCTTTATGTATCTCGATGTGAACACGAGCTCGAGCTCCTCCCTGCATCCCGGACCGTCCATCAACATCCCTGCGTAGCAATCGAACCATTCCTCTCCACGAAGGTCTTTTATACACTCACTGCCTTCGAACATGACCGCCGGCAAGCTCGAACACCGTCCTGGCGGTCCACGTAATGAAACATCCCACCGCTACTTCGAGCACTCCTCCGCCCAACGAGTGAACACCGATGCGATCATCGTAGAGAGCTTGCGGGCTGAATACCCAGAGCTGCGCTTGACCGTCGTACCTGCGCAAAGTTGCAACATCCTGAAGTATGCTGCGTCCGGCAAGGTTGGTGTGGCTCCAATAGACAACGAAAAGGATAGACTGTCATGGCGACTCTACTACCCTCCTGCGTCCCGCTTGAATGGCAAGGGAGGCCTGGGCGAGACTCCCAAGTTTGGCAAGTATCTGATTGACTGGAAGAACAAGGAGTTTGTGATGTACATCGTGGAAGGAAGAGATGGAGCCGGATACTTTCCACAGCAGGTCAATCAGTATATCCTGTCGCCATCAATCGAAGCTGTCAATCAGCTGCTCATCGAAGCTGGTGCTTGGGGCAATACTCTACATGAAGAGATCTGGGTCTTTGATGGAGGTTATTGGAGTAAGAGCCAGGAGTTATTCGAGAGTGTGCGAAAGGCTAGCTGGGACGATGTCATCTTGGATGAGAAGAGGAAGGAGGCGATCAAAGAAGACGTCAACTCCTTCTACGACAGTAGAGATCAGTACGAGCGCCTGAAAGTGCCTTGGAAGCGCGGCGTGATATTTTACGGGGTTAGTATCTCCCTCTACGTTTGCCATGTCTTTCGCGTTGCAGAAGATGTGACAAGATTCTGAGACTACCAATAGCCGCCCGGAAACGGAAAGACCATCAGTCTGAAAGCGATGATGAATCAGTTTTACAGCCGCGAAGACCCTATCCCAACGCTCTACGTCAAGAGCTTGGCCAGTTTTGCAGGCCCTGAGTACAGCATCAACCAGATCTTTGGTCTGGCGAGACGGACTGCGCCGTGTCTCCTGATCTTCGAAGACCTGGACAGTATCGTGACGGACGCCGTCCGATCTTACTTCCTTAACGCTGTCGACGGCGTTGCGAAGAACGATGGAATTCTGATGATAGGCTCGACCAACCATTTAGACCGACTCGACCCAGGTCTCGCGAAAAGGCCTTCTCGCTTCGACCGAAAATACCTTTTCGACAATCCAACCGAGAAAGAGCGAGCGATGTACATGCAATACTGGCAGAAGAAGTTGGCAGACAACAAGGACTTAGACTTCCCAGACAAATTATGCCCGGCCGTCGCAAAAATCACAAAAGACTTCTCCTTCGCCTATCTGCAAGAAGCCATGGTGGCTGCCTTGCTAGCCATCGCAAGAGACCAGGATAACTTCAGGGAACGGACTTGTCTGGAGTGCTTGGAAGCACACGAACGGCCGAGGAATGGCTCGAGCTGCGATCGCGAAAGCGCAAGACCTTTCAGAGGCCTTTACGACTTTGTTTGGGACACGCGACGAATCGACGAAGAGGATCCCGACCTCGATAATTATATCCTTTGGCGCGAGATCAAGAAGCAAGTCAGAATTTTGCGGGAAGAGCTTGGTGATGAGAAGGGTTTGAAGCGATAAAGAGCTGCACCCATCTAGACTCCTGCGACGAAAATCAAATCCCCATTCCCTTCTCTGACATTTCCATCACATTCGACCATCCAACCAGATTTCACGACTCGTCGTCTGCGATCCACGGCACGCGTTTCGCCGCTAGCTTTGCTGATGAAGCGAAAAACCTTCCTCACTTACAACCTCTGATCAGACACCATGACTTCACCGGATTTTCCGAATCTTTGGTGGAAGAAATGAAATGAAAGTGGAAGGTACTTCTTGGCTTTTATTTTTATTTTTATTTTTTTGACGAAAGGCTTGTGCTTCATATCGCTGCTTTCAGACTTGTCACATCGCCTACCTCCGAAGTTTTTTCAACCGATGGTGAGGGTTTGAGACGGTGCAGTGACTGCGCCTCTTCTCCTTCATCGTAGGTGTGACGGCCATCCATCTCGACACTGAAGAAGCTGTGTGGTGGGTATGGTCGCGGAAATTTGTATATCTTTTGTGGCCTCTCGCATCTTGTGTCTTGTTTTCTTTTTCCCTTGTGCTGCTGCTGCAGACTCTCCCGTTCTTTCGTTACGAGTCCGTGTCTCTCGTTCAAACATATCTCAATCTCGCCGCTGTTTATTCACTCACTGACTCACTCAGCTTCACCTTTCAAAATGTTTGGAGTCGGGATCGGAGCACAAGTCGGTGGTGTCGGTGCTAATATCGTCAATGCACAAGTGCCTTCGATTGGAGGTGTGTTCAACTTCGTGGGAGCTGGAGTAGGAGGTGGTGAGTGTTCTTGCTTTGCATATCAAATAGCAATGACACGCGTGTGGCTGACTGTGCTGGAGCAGGTGCTGATTGTCAGGATTGTCAAGGGGCAGCTGGGGTAGGTGTAGGTGTTCATGGAGGCGCTGGAGGGGGAATTGGTGCTGGTAGGTCTTTGCTGCTGTCGTTGATGGTCTTGGGCCGACTTTTCTTGTAGGAGTTGGGATCAACGGCGGTGCAGGTGCGGGTGCCAATGGGGGAATGGGTGCTGGTTCGTTTACTCTACGAGCACTTGAGAACTCGGACTGATTTATTTTGATCGCAGGAGTCGGCATCAATGGCGGCGGCGAGGGAGGTGCTGGAGGTGGAATCGGTGCTGGTTCGTTTACTCTACCATCACTTGAGAACTCTCACGCTGATTCTGATCGCAGGAGTCGGCATCAACGATGGTGCAGGTGGGGATGCCAATGGAGGAGCTGGCGTGGGAATGGGTCTTGGTGGTGGTGGCGCTGGCATTAGCAGTCAAGGTCAAGGACAAGTTGGCGGAGAATCTGGTGTAGGTGTCAATGGCAACGAGTCGAGCGGAGCTAAGGCAGGTGTGGGCTTAGGCGGAGGTTATGGTGAGTCGAGCGACCCGACAGACACCATTGATGAACTCATGCTAACACTTAGATCAATCAGGAGTCAGTCTTGTTCCAATTCCTGTCGTGCCCATCTCTGCATCCGCAGGCGGAGGAGCAGGTCTTTCAGCCTCAGTCGGAGCTTTGCCAGCAAATGGCAGTCCGCAATGCACTGTGCAACGCGGCCCAGCAAGAATGATCTACTTCCCTCCTGTCGAAGGCCAAGCTGCAGCCGGCGCCGCCACGACGACTCTCGGACAGACATTCCAGCCAGGCTCAGCATACATCTCATGCCAAAACTCTTTGGGCAGGTTACACAGATTCCAAAGGCAGCGTCGTACAAACAGGACCAACCTTCACAAACGCCATCTTCCCCGTCCCTTCCGATCAAGTCTCCACCCAGTGCCCATCGACACTCACAGCGGCGAGCACACAAGCCTGGGGCGCACCCCAAAAATGCGATTTCAACGACATCGGAGCACCAAACCCAACATGCCAGCAAATCGCCCCTCCCCCCAACATAATCAACCAAATCCCCGAATTCTCTCCCTACCTCTTCTGGAACATGCAATGGCAACAACCACAATACTTCTCTCAAGAAGGCTCGCCCGCACCACCCCAAGGTTCTCCTTGGAAAGGTCCAGAGCCCGGTTGTACGCCAAGTATCGTCCAGACCACGACGAATATTGTGCCTATGACGGACGCCTGTTGCTACGCCTTCGATGGCTCGGACCGGCGTTCCTGCCAGTCAGACACCTGCTACTCCAGAGACTTCGTTGGCACCTCAGGCGCCAGGTGGTTCGAATGCTACGAGTTCGGGTCCAGCTCCGTATACTGGACAAGCTTCGTAATCGTTCTCCAAGGCCGGGAAAAGCTGGTTCGCTGTTGCGGCGTTGGTGTTGAGTGTTCTCGTGCTCGGAGAGTAGATCTAGAATCTTCTCGTCTGGTTGATGAGATGGCATGGCATGGCGTCTGTCTTCACGAAATAATGTATGGTGTGATAGCGACACCAAAGATTTGTCTCAGTTGGAGAATGGTATGGTCATATAATCAAGTCGATCATCGGTTGCTGCACATGGTCGTCTTTCGAAAACAAAAAAGTGAATTCTTGACGAGATGGACAGAAGACTTACCTATCGAAAGGGTTGTCTAGGTGTCGCTCTTCTGAGCTCGTTTCACAATCAATCCGTGGTCTGTTGTTCGTCGCTCGAGAAGGAAAATTAGAGCTTCCTGAACAATCCATCTTCCGAGCGACTCTCGACATGGTCAGTCAGCAAGACAACAGCTTGACCTGACTATCCCAACATCACGTCGATCCATACATACCCGAACGACTTCTGCCGAGCCATTCATAATAATCACCAAGTCACCAGGTCATCACTAGGGCATCGCAGTAGATAAATCCCACACCCAACACCCAACCCCATCAATCACCTCATCATCCCAAAAAAAAGTCCGTCACAGCAGCACGTAGTAGTAACGAAGGTAAAAAGAAAAAGCGCAAAAAAAAAACTGTACATTACGTATATAGCATATGCATGTGCTTTCGGCCGAACATTGCGCTCCCTCCACTTCACACACAAGCAGTTGTCTTTATTACCCCGTCTCGCCTTGCCTTGCCTAGAAAAAATTTTTGCAAAAGTTTTGCATGAGATGAATAATAACCATTCTACTGCTTGCAAGTTGCTACATGTATCCCGACCGAGCGGCGAGAAGGAAAAATCGCTTCCAATTCCACAAAAAAAAATCAAAAAAAAAAAATAAAAAAAATCTAGTAGGACTGATTATTCTACTGAACTTAAGAATTCCAGCAACAACAATTGTCAATAAAAAGAGAGATTCGAGAACGTGCGGCTCGCCCTCTCCCAGTCCCAGATGTCTTCATCATCATTATCAAAAAAAAAAAAAAGGAAAAGAACAAACGTTCTCCGGACTTTACCAAACTCCGTTCATCAAGCTTATTTAATCATAATCATAATCAAAATCAAAAAAAAAACAAACTTCTATTATATATACGTATGTATGCACGACCGGAGACTTTCCCAAACTCTGATTCGCCCTACCAAAAAGAAAGTGGCGTGTCCCTCCCAATTTGCCGGGTGGGGGGAAAGGAAGTTCTAGAAGGGAAACCAAGCCTGTCCTGGCGTTCGTATTTATTGCCCTGTGCGGACCGCGGTGAGGTTTAAGTTGAAGTTTTTATCATATGCAAAGAACCATGTGCGCACCTCGTGAATCGTGACCCGACGGGACCAACCAACCCTGTCGAATCTTATGTATAGTCTAACTTTAATTGGAGTGCATTTCATGATGAATGAAGCAAGCATGGGAGGAGAGAGAGGAAAAGAGGAAAAGAGAGATCTGGGTTTTTTTTGATTTTCGGTTTTTGGATTATGGGTTGGATGGTGTCTTTAGTATCTCTGGTGAAAGCTCGGCAGGAGTGGAAAATACTCTGCAGCTTTCAAAACATAGAATATTGCTAGCATACATACAACAGTCTTACACAAGGTATGGTATGTAGACCGCGATATTGTTGCTTGTTGCTCCAGCCGCCTCGCATGCAAGCCGTCCCGTCTCGTCCTTTTACCCCGAATGATAGATCCCTGTTAGCAAATGCAGCGACGAGTCAGGACCCCTGAGAGTGTGCAGAAAATCCTTTGTCGCGCAGATCGTTTCCTCAATGCGGATGATGTGTGAAGAAAGGGTTGGGCCCTGGTCGCGGTGGAGGAAGCATCACAGAGCCAGAAAGGAACCCGCTGTCACGAGTGTGCGGCTGGGAGCTGGGAGACTGGTGGCTAGGGATCTCTGAGGTATGCAGTCGTGGTAGCTCCGATAGCGGTGGGCTCTTGCCTTCACGTCTTCTCCTCGATGCTTCTGGTTCGCTGGTGTAGCCCTTTGGTGAACGCCCTTCAGATCCAGAAAGGGATGATACGTCGTCAATCATTGCGCCAGGCGAACTGTGGTATGAATGCGGAGAGGAGCCGTACAGACGTGCTCTGTCTGTGTGATCGTTCTTACCAGACCTGATATGATGATGCTCAGGGTTCCTAGAAGCTCCGAGTCCATCTTGAGAAGATGTCGCAGTTGGCTGTGCAGAAAGCCTTTGGTCACACTCATGACTGCTCACTGGGGTGAATGAAAATGGCGGCAGGGGAGCAATAGCACTTGGAACAGGTCCAAGTGCTCTGATGAGCTCCTCTGGAGATGATGTTGTGGGCTGTATCAAGATCCCCAGCTCATCTGGCCCCGGCGAGCGAGCACGAGCTACCACTGACAAATCAGCCGTAGTGACCTTGCCTCCAGCATGATAGACATCCAACGTCGCGGGCTTTTTGGGCTTGACAGCCGCGACATGCGGCAAAGGAGGCACATGGGACAAAGCGGGTGGCGGCCTTGCAGGCGTGGAGCGGCCACTCTCTGCATTCGGCTTCGCTGTGGTATCGTCATGCTTGATTGCGGTCTCAATGACTGACGATGTCTGCTGAAGAAAGATTTGAGAATGTTCCTGGAACTCTCGAGTGTTACGCTGGGCTTGTAGCAAGGCGGTGCGCAGGGAGAGCACTCGGGCGTTAAGCTGCTGTATTTCCCGTTTGAGTCCAATGGTCTCGCTTGCGCGAGCGTCTCCGTAGGATGCCGCTGCCGGGTCCGATATGTTTGCATCAACCATCATGGCTGAGATGTGAGTGGAGGGGGGTGCCACCTTTTCCGAGGCGTAGTCACGACCATCCGTATGTGCGAGGTTCGTTCGATCGTCCTTTGCCTTTGGCGCTGCAAGATTCGGAGAATCGCTTCCTTGCGAACAAAGACGATTCGTCAGTGTTTCCTTCTCCTGCAATAGTCGCTGTCTCTCGGAATCCACCTTTGCATGCAGGCGGCCTGACATCTCAAGCATTCGTCCCCATTGATCCTTTTCTCTCTGTGCTTCCGCGCGTTCCGCGTCACGCTTCTTTTCGCACTCCTCGAGTTGGTTAGTCAGAGATTTGATCTGCTCTGCGAGTTCCTCGTTCTTGCTAGTCAGTTCGTTCACTTCTTGCTCGGCCACACTAGTCTTCTTCTCAATAGTTTGGCTCTTCACCCTTTCCCGCTGTAACTTTTGCAAGAGCGAGGCATATTCGGACTGCAAAGTCTGCAAGGCCAGAGACTTCAGGGTGACTTGATGCTGGAGGTCCGCGATATGGGCGGAAGTTACCGAATTGGTCGAGGTAGTGTGGATGGATGCTGCCGCCTGGTATGAGGTTGCCGGCGATCCCACCGAGGGCGCGGTGGGTGGAGGCCATGACGGAGGCGCAGATGGCGGATGAACAAGCGACGATGGAGAAGGAAGTGCTCTCAGATTGCGCTGAGTGAATGTTGGAGAGGTGTGTCGCGGATGAGCCGAGCCAGGTATAGAGTCGCTCGGGGGTGGAGAGTATCCCGGTCGAGAGTGGGGATTGAGAAAGTCGATGGACAATTTGCGTTCGTCACGGCCAGGAAATGGCATGGGCGGAAATTGCCAGTGCTGCTCATTCGAGTTTCCAGAGCGAGGTCTCTTGGGTGCCGAGAGATGGTCTCGTTCCCAGTGTTCAGCATATCGTTTGAGAGGATTGCTCGGAGAGGGAATCGACACTCTGTCTGCACGCGATGTTGACGCGTGAGAAGTAGCAACGATCTGGCCACGACGACTCGCATGTTGGAGTTCCTGTCTCGCGCGTCTCAAGATTTCAAGCATCCATTGAGCGGCCTTCAAGGGACAGTCATTGGGCACAGCAGACGGCTAACAGATGATGTCAGCACGCGATCTCTCCATATGGAGAAGCTATGGGCCAAGCAATGGAAAGGTGTGAGCATGACACTCACTGCATTTGATGACGGACCGCATATGGCGCGGACAGTGTCGTCGAGTTCCGCGACGGCGTCAGCGACATGTTTCACCAACGGCCTCAGCTTGACGCAGACGCAGCACGATAGGCGTGACGTCATCGAGGAGATCTCCGGACCATCGAGGTCGTCATTGCGAGCGGCACTGTGCTCGTTTAGGGAGGCAAACGAAGGGAGCGACGGTGCAGGTGTCGTTGAAGTCACGCGGTAGGGCTGATCAGGCGGGAGCGTGGTGCTTGCTGTCGAGCGTCGTGGCCAATCTGCCATTACGCCAGCATTGTGAGCAAATCGAAGAGGCATGCGCTGACATGTGATCAACAGTGCAGGGTGAGGGCAGGACAATGGATTCTTATGCGACGCACCTTTTGCCTGAGGTATGTGAAGAGCCAGAGGGGGATCGGTGTTATTATGATGGGCTAAGCTCCGGCGATGGTCATGGAGGTGTAAGGTTCGCCAAGATGCCGTCTCTGTCCCACTCCCATGATGAGGTGAAGTAGATTTGCGCTGGTGCAGTCCGCAATCAGAATCGTCGCCACTGGCCGCGGGAGTGTGGCGCTCGTGGGGACGATGCTGGTATGAAGAAGGTTCGGTGATAGCATGCGTGTGCGGGTGCGTGCGCGTGTGCGTGTGCGTGTGCGGATACGGCTCGGCCAGGCGCGATAGACTCTCTGAACACTGCGCGAGCATGGACGCTCGGGTTTGGGTTTGGGTTTGGGTCGCTGGGTTGGCGGCGATGCGAGCGGATGGCTGCGGAGCTGGCAGCCGGGAAGCCTGAGAGCTTGCCGGCACACGCTCATCATCGCCGCTCCTCCATCCTTCCCACGTCGTCGATGAGTAATAATCGGGCTTCATCCCCAGCCAGAGCGACGCAGTGTCCCATCCCATGCGCCATCCGCCTTCGAAAGCTGACTGCCGGGCAGGGCGGCGTGATGGGCGAGCTTGTTGTGGCCAGTCTAGCGCGTTGGAGCTTGTTGATATGCTACAGTCGAAGACAATCAGATGCTCGGAGGCGCATTGGGGAAGAGAAGGGGGAAAGCTGTCTTCCGTAGAGAGGGTGTACTTCACACAACTTATGAGCGATCGCGAGTTGGCTGGGCATGGGAAGCACCGTCATAACTCGAAGGCCACTGCTATATATCATAGATCCAAGTATATCAACCTACAAAGTAAATTCGAGGTAGCTCCAGCACACCCTATGGGTTCTACACTGCGATTAAGCGAGATGGCGGACGGGGGTAATCCCCGTAAGCGGCAGCTAGCTTGAAGGCGTTAGACGTGAACTTTTTAAAGCTACGGATAATTCCTTTAGGCAGTACGCTAGCTTTGACTAGTTAGATCCCGTTTTCAGGGATTACCGCCGTCCGCCATCTCGCTTAATCGCAGTGTATATGCCCCTGCAGAGTGCCCTAAAACTACCGAAATTAGTGTACAAATCGGGGTATTGCAAACACCCCTTATATAACCTAATTACCTCGGATTTCTACCGTTCCGAATAGCCGTAATCGCTCGAAAACGACTAAGTCTACGCCTGTACCTTAGCACTACTACTTCTACCGCTTAGAAGCGACAACCTCTCCTTAGATCCGTCGTTTTAGTAGTCTAATTAGTATAGGAGATAGCGTACGAGAGGATTAATCTATCTAGTATAGTTTAGGTAGTATACCTACGTATAACCTTCTACGAGCGCGTTTCGAAGGTATTATAGGCTTACTAATTAAAGGCTTCTAACGACGAGGTTTATAAGAGCTACCTAATAGCTATAGTAGATTAATTAAAGTGTCCTTACCTAGCGACTATATAGGTAAAGAATATAGAGCTATAGATAGTACTATAGAAGGTAGTAGCTCTGCTATAGAAGGTAGCTCTACTATAGAAGGTAGCTCTACTATAGAAGGTAGCTCTACTATAGAAGGTAGCTCTACTATAGAAGGTAGCTCTACTATAGAAGGTAGCTCTACTATAGAAGGTAGAAACAGCTTACTTAGTAAGGGCAAATCGTCTAGTAAGGACGATAGCAACAGCTATTAATGCCTTAATGCCTCGTCGTTATCGTATTAATTACTTTTACTAGCGTCCTTTAGCAAAGATAGCGGCAATCGACTAATTAGCGTTAATTATAGAAGAAGGTCTATATCTAAGAGCCTATTAAATAGGTCCTTATTAACCTCGTATAGTGCGTCTTTATTTTTAGCCTAAGCAACAACGCCGTTGCTATTAGGTAGACTATAGACTAGTAGAGCGTAGCCTTCGACAATAAGGCGAGGCCGATATAGAAGGTTAGTTATAGAAGCGATAGGTGCTAGTAGCAGTAGTAATAGAGCTATATAGAAGACTAGTTACCGTAACGGCTTATCGTTAATAACTCGCTACTTTGTAGTACGACGAGGTATTAATTTAGCCTACGGAGTACTATTCTTAAACTACTAGTCTATCTAAGCGACTCGCGAGTCGTAGCTAAGTGCTGCAAAGTTAGTAACCTACTATAGAAGGGCCTTATATTACTAACCGTCGGTAAGGTTAGAAGCCTACGAGTCGTAGAACCGGAAGAAGGCCTATAAGACTGCTTCTTGCATAGAATAGAAGTATTCCTTTACCTAGCGCTTCCGAGATACTCCTAGTGCCTTATTAACGTAGAAGACCTATACTAACTGCTCGTCTTTAATAATAAGCTTTATATTAAGCTAGTCGGAGTAGACAAGGTTGCTATTTAGACCTTAGAAGCGACTAATATAGAGGCTACAACGGTGTAGTGTAAGGCGACTAATTGCTTCCTTATAAAAGCGCTAAATATGCTTATAAGGAAGGTAATAGCTATACTAGAAGTAATAGAAGCACTTAGTATATACATTGTCGTCCGTAGCCGGTAGAGCTATTCGCTAAGTAGGCTTGTTATTGTCTATATCCTTATAGCACTATATAAGCTTATCTGCTATTTTCTTCTATATAGAAAGAGGTAACCGTCGAAATTTAGAAGTCTTCTCTTAACGCTATATTAGAAGCTAGCTATTCTTATCGATAACGCTATTTTAACGGACGCGCTCGCGGATGTAGTTATTAAGCTAAACGAGGTATAGGACAGTACCTAGAATAGTTAGTTGTTATTATATAGAAGAGACAAGAAGCCGTAGAAGTCTAAGAATAATACTAAAGGCCGAAAGCTAGCCTATTCTAAGGAATCCGCCTGTTCTAAGGAATGTAGTAGGACTCTATTCTTATAGAATTCCGATAGCAATAGAAGAAGGGGACGAATACGTACCTCGTAAGCTCTATTTGCGCATCTAACGCTTGTCTCGGTGCTTCAAGTATACATAATAGCCCTCTAATAGACTAGTAGTGCGAACGGCTATTAAAATCGGGTCTCCGAGCCTTACCTAAGTCGCCTAGCGATTGCTATCAGAGGCCTTCTAATTGGCCTTTAAATAGGCCAATTCTTCACTCGATTTGGCCGTATTATAGGTATTAAAGGCGGCTATTGCTTAGTTAATAAAGTATTGGCATTCTTCTTAGTCTCGAGCGATAAATAGAGCCTTGCTTATTACCTTTAAAACAGGTAGAAAGCGCTTAAAGTGCTTCTCGAGGGTCTTAATAAGGTGCCGTTAGCAGAGGCGTTAAATAATACTACAATCTATAAGACCGTAACTAACTCCGAGCTGTTTACTTACTAAGTCGTTAGTTATTAACTATAGTAGTATCTAGGAAGATTGCTTAGTATAGTTAAAGTCGTCTTAGTCTTTAGCTTTAGAAGAACAGCGGTTAGCCTAGTTAAAGAAGAAGTACTTCCTATAGCTATTAAAACCGGTTATCTAGTGTTTGTAGTCTAATTTAGCTATTTCTCGAAGGCTCGAGATTGCCTTCTTAATTAGGTATACTTACTCGCAATCTATAAGGAAGTGAGCCGCTAGAAGCTACTCTAGGTAGTTATTGCGGACGTATATAGTTAAGAGAGGCTATTTAAGCCTGTTAGTAAGGTATATAGAATCTAGTAAGAATAAGGACCTATAGTTGCGAAGAGCTCGAAGTTGCTAGTTTGCCGCCTAAATTAGGCCTCTATAGACGAGTCTATCGCTTCTACGAGATTCAATTATCTCTACAAAGCTACTTCTACTACTGAATTTCGTAGACAAGTACTTATAAGCCTACTATAACTGCTCCTCGATAGCTAGTTTAGCACCTTATCTTCGCTTGTTACTTAGTCGCTTTAGACCTTCTCGATTAGCGCTAGAAACGCGGTCTCGAGTAATACTAACCGTACTAGCATTATACTAAATTTGCCTCTGTTTAGGCCTTCGCATTTCTTTAACTAACTAAGCGACTAACGTTAAGCTACCTCGAGAAGCGATTAGGTCCTTCTATACCGCCTTTACGCTATCGTTAGTTTATAAAGAATCGACGAATTCGAGACTATACGAGTAGCGGTTAGTAAGCGGCTTTAACACTACGTAGACTAGCCTTATAACCGTCAAATTCGTACTTAGAGTCGAAGGTAGCGCGGCCGGTACGTAGTTATCGAGAAACTCGCCTATTTCGCGATTTAGTCGCTTCTTATAGACCTTAATAATTACTAACTTCGCGCAATAGTCGTATATATATATCGTACGCGCTACGCGCTATCGCTAAGGCCGTTTGCGCTTAAAAACAACCTCTCTACTATCTGCGCGATTATAGTCTATATAGCGCTTATAGACACGATACTCGAAGCCGAGTCGGCGATACAACCGACCTTGCGAGTCCTTTAATAGCTTATTTAGTCGATTCTTACAATACTATATATTAGTTACAAAATAGCGGTATTCGTCGTATTCGAAGCCTTCTATCCGTAGACCCTTGTACGCCTAAATACTACTTAACTTAGCTATAGGAGGGTAGAAGAATAGGCGCCTTCGGTTATATATATTTAGTAGAAATAGGCTCTTAAACTGTATACTAACTTAGCGCTATTCTCGACCTTACTAACCTTACCGACCTTATACGTACCGGCCGCTCTACCTCTAGCTTAGTAAGCAACGCTTCTATATCCTTAGGAGGCAGGTGTTTCTTATATATCGTAAAGAGCGTAGAATTTAGCGATAGTAAGGTCGAAATAAGCGCGATACGTAACCGCGAGGAAGAGATAGAATAGGTCGATAAATAAGAGGTAGAAATAGCCTCTAAATAAGGTCTAGTTTGGCTTTATCGTTACTCCTTATTTATAGGCCTATACTATGCGATTACAAGGCTTCAAATTAGCTCGAAATTGGACCTCTTAGCGGTCTATATATAGCCTATAAACAACTATAGAAGTAGTTAAGCGGCCTTACAAACCTAGCCGCCGTAGCGGCGCGATCTATACCCTTATATAGGTTAATATACTTATACCTATATATTATGCTCGCCGTGCTTATTAACGTATCGATAAAGGGAAGGGTTAGCACTTAGGGGCGTGCGAATAAACGAGGCTCTAAGCGCATATTAGAGGCTATACGTAATTGGTATATAACTAGGCCGAGTAAGGCTAGGGTCCTAATGCCTTAGGCAGGGCTTAGCGCTT